CTACGTGATGGCCGATCTCAACTGCTCGTTACAAATTTCAGCAACGAACACCGACACCTTTTCCGTGGCACTTCGTTAGCGTTTGCAGATGAATTAGGAACCGTTCCCATCTGCTTCTCGTCGGAAGCAGTGGAGCCCGCCGATACGTCTCTAAACAACATCGATATTAATTCTAAGCTCACACCAGAAAACCAGACAGCACTGCGAAAACTCTTGCTTGAATTCAAGTCATGCTTCGCTGCTTCTTCTAAGGTGCGCCAGACTTCGATCACTAGGCACAGAATCATCACTTACGACGACGCCCGCCCAGTACACCAACAGCCTTACCGGGTGTCAGCGAAGGAACGAGAAGCCATTCGTACGCAAGTTCGAGAAATGCTTGACGACGGCATCATCGAGCCTTCCAACAGTGCGTGGTCCTCTCCGGTCGTCCTAGTCAAGAAGAAAGACGGAACGCTACGTTTTTGCGTCGATTACCGGAAGCTGAACAGCGTGACTAAAAAGGACGTGTACCCGCTGCCACGCATCGACGACTCGTTAGACAGATTACGCCACGCCCACTATTTTTCCTCTTTGGATTTAAAAAGCGGGTACTGGCAGATTGAGGTTGACGAGCGAGACCGCGAGAAAACTGCATTTGTGACCCCTGATGGTCTGTATGAATTTCGAGTCCTTCCTTTTGGTTTGTGCTCAGCACCTGCAACCTTCCAGCGAATGATGGACACTGTGCTTACTGGTCTGAAGTGGCAAACTTGTCTCGTATACCTTGATGATGTGGTCGTTTTTTCTGAAACCTTCCAGCAACACCTTCACCGCCTCAGGAGTGTGCTACAGGCTATTCAATCAGCAGATCTTACACTCAAATCGCAGAAGTGTCACTTTGGTTATGAAGAGCTCAAATTCCTTGGCCATGTAGTCAACGCCAAAGGAGTCCGACCTGACCCCGACAAACTTGCCGCTGTAGCCGCGTTTCCGCATCCTACAGACAAAAAGACTGTTCGGCGCTTTCTGGGCTTGTGCGCCTACTATCGACGATTTATTAGAGAGTTTTCGAAGATAGCGGAACCCTTGACTCGCCTTACACGCGACGACACACCGTTTGTATGGGCTACTGAGCAACAGGCTGCTTTTGCCGAGCTACAACAGCGGATGCAGTCAGCCCCTGTTCTTGCGCATTTTGACGATGATGCTGACACAGAGGTGCACACTGACGCCAGTAACATCGGCCTCGGCGCAGTGCTCGTCCAGCATCAACACGGCAAAGAACGAGTCATAGCCTATGCCAGCCGCTCACTGTCCCGTACCGAGGTGAATTACACGACCACAGAAAAAGAGTGTCTCGCAGTAGTGTGGGCGATCACCAAGTTTCGCCCGTACCTGTATGGTCGTGTATTTAAAGTGGTGACGGACCACCATGCCCTCTGCTGGTTGGTAAACATTCGTGATCCCTCTGGACGACTGGCCCGATGGAGCTTGCGTCTACAGGAATTTGATGTTACCAACGTATATAAGTCTGGACGGAAGCATGAAGACGCTGATACGCTGTCGCGTGCACCCATACCTTTAGTCAATCAAGAAGAAGAGGACGATGACAGTTTCCTGGGCGCCCTTAGCTCATCTGACTTGAGCAGACGCCAGCGAGAGGATGAAGAGATTCGACCGCTTATCGACTATCTGGAGGGTCATAGCGCTGTTATACCTCGCCATCTATCTCGCGTCGTGACGTCTTTCTGCCTCCGAGATAATGTCCTGTACAAAAAAAACGCCCGTTCTACGAGCCGCGCTTACCTCCTCGTCGTTCCGAAGGGCATGCGGGACGAAGTCCTCTCCGCGTGTCATGACGAGCCCACATCTGGTCATCTAGGTTACTCGCGAACGCTCGCCAGAATAAGTGAGGCGTACTACTGGCCCGGACTTTCGGCAAGCGTGAAGCAGTACGTTAAAAGCTGTCGTGAATGCCAGCGTCGAAAGTCGCCACCAAGCAAGCCGGCTGGATTACTTCAGCCAATTGATCCACCCCACAAGCCATTTGACCAAGTCGGCATGGACATTCTCGGCCCATTTCCTTTATCGTCCGACGGCAACAAATGGGTCACAGTTGCAACTGACTATTTGACCTGATATGCTGAGACACAGGCGATACCACGAGCCACGGCTTCTGAGGTAGCACAGTTCTTCATGTGCCACATTGTTCTGCGCCACGGTGCTCCATCTACAGTGATAACCGACAGAGGAACAGCGTTCACTGCACAGCTTATTGATGAAGTTTTTCGACTAAGTAACACTAGGCATCGAACGACGACTGCTTACCATCCGCAGAGCAATGGCTTAACCGAGCGACTAAATAAGACAGTCACAAACATGATCTCCATGTACATCGACGTCCAACACAAAACATGGGATCGCATTTTGCCTTATGTGACGTTCGCTTATAACACCGCCGTTCAAGAAACAACCCGATTTACACCGTTTCGCCTTCTCTACGGCCGTGAAGTTCAGACGATGCTGGATGCAATGCTTCCTTGTGATGGCGCCGATCAATTAACAACTGACGCAGAAAAACTTGCAGAGCGTGCCGAGGAAACTCGCCAGCTCGCCCGGCTACACATTCGTCAGCAGCAACAGGTCGATGCACGACGTTACAATATGCGTCACAATGATGTATCTTACAGACCGGGAGACCAAGTTTGGATTTGGACCCCTGTTCGACGCCGTGGCCTCTCCGAAAAGTTGCTCAGCAGATACTTCGGTCCGTATAAAGTATTACGCCGCGTGAGTGACGTAAACTACGAAGTGGTTCCGGACGCTACGTCGTCACGATGGGTACAACGAAAACAACCGACCTCCGACATAGTTCACGTGGTGCGCATGAAGCCTTATCTTGCGCGTTCCTAAAAGACCACTTTTCCTGTGTTTTTTTTATTTGTGCTCCGACAATTGCCTCATCATTGGTGAACTTATCGCGTCTAACATTTGATTATTGGTGCCTTTTTTTTTCATTGTTTAAACTACTTTGTTGTGTTTTGTTTTTTCAATAACTTTACAGCATCGGGACGATGCCCTTTTTTTGTTGTTGAGGGGGAATATTGCCACCTACTTCTAGTAGTGGGTCGTATGTCAAGGTGAAGGCACACACCACAGAGAAGAAAGAAGTGCACGTGGGCCCCCGCTCTGGAAAACAAGTCCAACCGACGCGCTTGGTTAGAGCCCTGTTGCTCAGACGTCAGTAAACCTTGTTGACACCCCCTGGAGTGACGTGACAATATCTTCACAGGAAACTCGCTCTAGCCCCTTCCAAAGTTAGACTAACAAGTTATAAATGCCTTGTACGACCAATTCTCGAATACGGCAGTGTAATCTGGAATCCGCATCAAACTTACCTTCTTAACCAGCTGGAGGGAATACAAAATAAAGCGCTCCGATTTGTGTATTCTCAGTATTCTCGAGATGTCAACATAACCGCGCTCCGCAATAGGGCAAGCATTCAAACACTGGCGATCCGGCGACGCATAGCTGCATTAAAATTTCTTTATCTGCTTTATCATGATAACATTAACATCAACAAACACGAGTACTTGAAACCACCATATCAGCGCTCCGCCAGAACAAACCACGACAAGAGTATCAGGCCTTTCATCTCCCGTTGCAATTCATTTAAGTATTCCTACTTTCCGTCAGTAATAGAAATATGGAATAACCTGCCCCGTGATATAGTGTCCTCAGAATCTCTCGAATCATTCACTACCAATCTTGAAAAGTTTTTGGATCAGTAAGTTGCAGCATTGTAGAAAAATGGCACAACTTTTCATTGAATTTACGTTTTGATTTGTATGCCACTCGATGTTTCAATTCTCAGATCTGTGTCTAATATGCATTCTTCCCTGTTAGCCTGTGGTGTTTTTATTCTGTTTTATTTCTTGGTTCTTCGACTAGATGTACAGTTGTAATTTGTAATTGTTTAGAGTAGTCTGTACTGTTCATTCTTATTTTTTCCCGTGTTCATTTTTTTGTTTACTATTTTTTGTTCTGTGGTCTAATGTGAAGATGACAATCTGTATAATTTCTTCTCACTCCTGTATGAGCCTCTTTAGGCTTACAGTATCAATGATAAATAAAATAAAAAAAATTCTACACAATGACGACTCTGTATCAAACACCCTGTGCCTCGCGGAAGAAGCCCGTCGAATCGCTCGTCTTCGTACTCTGGCCTCTCAACGTCGTTCGAAAGAACGATACGACGACTGTCACAAACCGGTTTTATTCGAAAAAGGTGACTTGGTGTTACTTTGGACACCGCAACGCAAGCGTGGATTGTGTCAAAAGCTTCTGTCACGATATTCAGGCCCATTTGTAGTTTTGGAGCGTCTAAGCCAGCTCACTTACGTAATAGCTCATCTTTTGTCCAATGGTCGACGATCGAGCAGAACGCAGCTCACTCACGTTGCTCGCCTGAAACCTTTCTACCCTCCTTGTGCATCATAACTCGCCCTACGGGCTTCGTCTGCTTGTGGGGGAATGTAACAGACTAGAAAAAGGTAGAGAAGAGAAGCAGAGGAAGACGAAGAGTCTTGGCACGATCGCAGTGTGCTGCCGCAAACGACCATCATTCACCTCCTATAAATAAAACCATCTTATCACAGCTCGCTGTTACAATATGAAGGATTGCAAGATGCTGCAGAAATATGAGAAATATGCACTCTCAACAGTGTAACGGCATAAACCCCAAAAGATAATCTTTTATTGCTACATCTCAAACACACATTTGTTTAGAAGACTAGGATTGGGCGTGTTGGTAGAACATGATTATGAGGGCAAATCAGTGCAACCGACAGGTGGGGACAGATGAGAGGACACATCAGCGCTCCGTGTTATCTATTCTATCTCCTCCTGTTGGTTGCGCCGATTTGCACTCATATACACCTTTGCTGTGCCTTGTTTAGGAAGGAATCTTTTTGTTTCTCACTTTTCTATTTTTTCCCGGTCCTCTTGCATATCTTCAGACTATCATGTGTGCCGAAGGTGTGAGGTGTGCTGTTGAAGACCTTCGTGTCGACTGCTCCAAGGGCGGCATATCAAGTGGTCACCGAGTCAAGCGCTCTCGAGAGCCGGATCTCAACGTTTATTTCCGTGTCACTGGTAATAAACTGCTTCCCTTTAAGTTCTCTCAACATGCTCACTATGAGAGATATGCAACTTCAAAGCAGAAAGGCTCCTGTCATCCTGGAATTCCAGGATGACACACATATGTGTGTACTTGTACTGCCTTGTAATGTGTGTACTTGTAGTGTGCTTGTCTACACATATATGTGTAGACAAGTACATTTGGCCTTCCTCAGAGTGTTGTTATTCTGGCAGAGATCAAGTCGCAAACTGCGACATCAAATGCAATCATGCTCCAAACCATTTTTAACCCCATGCAGCTCATTATGTGTGACATCACATGTGTTGTTTACCTCATTTACATTGAATCTAACCTAACCAATTTGCAAATGCAACTTTTTATAACAAGCGCCTTTAAAGTGTGACAGTCAAAAAAAGGACATGCAGTGTGTATTTTTGATTCTATGAGCGACCATGGGTACAAATAGGCTTTCGAAATTAGAAAAAAGAAAAAGGCACGCAATGCATACAGAAGCACGGAGCAAATTAGAAGTGTTCTCTTCCCAGAAACAAAAACTTATTCACAAGAAAGCTGCAGTTCCTTGGAAATGTATCAGCTTTGAAGTGATGTGGCTGCAACTATGCCACATTCATGAGGGGGTTAATTATGATAATAAAATGTAGGAACTTGCTCACTTCTGTCTCCACAACAGGCTTGCACAACAAAACAGCCTCCTCATCTGAAGAACACCTTCTGTTTGCGATGAAAGCATTTCTGGAAAGACTAAAGGAGGCTGTGCTTCGGAAGGAGCTGGACGTGAAGTTGGATGAAGGTGACTTGTCTGCAATGCTACTTGAAGAGTCTGAAGACGTAGGCCATCTGGTTTGTCCTGTAGGAAGCGTTCCGTCACTACCACACTGTGGTAAGTGGCGCGTCGTTGTTCCTAAGTCAAATCCTGGGGCATGGGGATAATGGTAGATAAGTCGTTAACGGGTTACAATATTGATGATGGAGATGGTCGATTACAGTGGACTTTCATTAAATGGAATCTGAAGGAATGGGAATAATGTGCTTTAGTTAACAGGAGTTCCATTTCCTGAGAGATGAATTGGGGTGCAGTATGCAGGGATGAAAACAATCATGTCACAGGCAGTTGTTCCATTTAAGCAGCAGATCCGTTTAACAGATTTCCGTTTATTGATAGCCCAGTGTACATTAGTATTGTGGGGGATATACACACTGCTCACTAAGAGAGGCAATGTGATGTGCAATCTTTATGTAAAATTTCATTTTATTCCACAAGGTAATAAGACACAAGGAAAATGTAAGGCGATTAACATGAACATGAATCTTTCTCGACAGCCTTATTGATCATGTTCCCAAGTGTTTATTTAGTTTCATTTTGTTGTGCAGTGTTTTCTGTAGAAAAAACATGGAACAGGTCAAAACATTAAAGTTCTAATTACTTTGTGAGTGCACTCTGGCTTCTGTACTATTTACAGTGTAGCTCCATGATCAATCTCAAAAATGTTTCTGCAAAATAAGTGTGCAAGGTTTGCTCTGGAGTTACTACATCTACTAAAGCTTCATTTAGAATGTCAGTGTCAATTCATTCTTAGAGAACCATAGTGACCGTAAGCCCTTAAACATGAGCAGTATCTTAAAAGGCGTCTTCAGAAAGAAGGAGCTTTTTCTTTATAACAAGATGTGCATTATGGGTGAACTGAGTATAAACATTTGCATGAAAGCATGGACATGACAAGTGTGGTTATATGGGCATTGGACATACACTAGAAATCGGGTAACTTTGACTGTGGGAGATAATTTTTGTTCCACCATGTCCTCGTCATCTTCAGCCTAATAGCATACTTCTTGTATTTTAGTGAAATGCCCCATGGGAACATACTATGAATACTACAACCAGACACAAGTGAAATGCCAGCCCTGTCCCAAAGGCACATTCCAACCAAGTGAAGGACAGGAAATATGCATCCGCTGCCCCAACCACACTTTCACGGCTGCTGTGAAGTCCAAGAGCAAGCACGACTGCAAAGGTATGTCCTGACAGTAAAGCGGTGGCTCAAGTTCTACCATTTATCTGGGTATAATTTTATCTAATTACACTTTCCTATGCAACGAGCTTCAAATCCTCAGCATTATAAAGACATGCGCACCTGCATCCCTGCATCTATGCTCAAGATGTTCTTTCAACTTCTCAAAGCAAATGGGCACAATAATTTTACCCAGCAAGCATTTTTAGTGTACTTCTGAAGTAGAAAAAGAAACTACCTTCACCAAAAGCAAACACATACAAACCTCGATATAATGAACATGCATATAACGAACTATCGGTTATCACGAAGTTAATGAAGAACAGTCTTCTATTAGATACAGTGTTACAGATATATGTCTATAACAAATTTTCGGATATAACAAAGTTTTTTCGGTGCAGATGTGACTGTTATAAAATGGTCATCTAAAGAAACAGTTTCTGAGCATTCAAGTGGTATGAGCAATGCAGTCTTGAGACTCCATGGAGCTTGGTGAACTGGGACTGTATTCACAAAAACATCTTGCGTTAGAATTTTTCCGGAGAGAAAATCGCAGACGTCTATAATGCTGGATGTAGCATATCAGTCGAGCCTGTCGGCCACTGGCAGTGAGTGAATCATAAACTTAATGAATTTAGCATCTGTTGTTCATTGAATAAGGCTTCGCATTGTATTCAATTATAAACGTGGGTGTAACACAGCAACTTATGATAGCATATCCTTTAGGTAAGAACACACTTAAATCCACAATGTCTAAATCCACACACTGACACTATCGATGACGTGGTTCGGGGAATGCGGCATATGCAGTTGTGATTTTCTCCACTCCGCGCAGAGCAGTGCAGGCCGGGGACTTTCTCGGGGACGGGGTTAAGACCGTGCAAACGTTGCCGCAAGTCCCACTACCAGCCCGATTACGGAACGGCAAGCTGTATGCCGTGCCCAAGCGGGACGCGGTCCAAACGCCGAGGCTCCGTAAGCGTGAGCGAATGTGAAGGTAGGTCTCCGCACACACTGCTTTGACGCACGGCGCTCTGCCAACTCCCAAATACTGAACATTAAATTAATGTTACGGCTGAAATAAATGATAAATGGAGGCCTATGTACTAAGACAGGGGATCGTACATGCCCCTATAATGTTTCTTGAGCATAATACTCTATCGAATATTTTCTGGACTGCAAAGCTTGAGTCTACAAAAAAAATAGCGTATAATGTGTAGGATACATATATTGTTGCTTACCAAACATAATTTACTCATTTATTTGGCCATTCAAGCAGAGCTTGGGAATTGAAACCGCATGACTTAGTTTTGATTCAATGTCAAGAACTGAAGCGAGGATGTTGCCTGGATAATAACGTCACCTAGGGCGGCTTGATTCACGAAACATGTCAGGAAACCGCATATCGGTAACTGTGGTTGAAAATAAACAAATAAAAAGAGCTAGGTCCACACACAGAATGTCCCAAAATGCAAAGTGGGATACACAGTTTTTTTATGTTCTGATGCCTCACCTTATCACCATATCTCATCCACAAGCAACACGTAGCCTTTAGCCACTGCATTTTAAAACAATACCTCAAGTGAAGTGATTACGTATGTTCATGATCCTACTTTGTTTGTGCCATGTAGAGACAATAACATGTACACTGTGCAAAAAAAAAGAATAGACAAGCTTGCGGGTAATCATTCTCTGTTTACTGTTTTCAAAAATTTTGAAGATCATGTTTTGGTAACAATGTCACAATCACTATTTTTACCTTCAGAAAAAAATTATTCAGACCACTGGAAAACTAGACAAAATTTTATTTCACCTGTGCTGTATTTGATGGTAGCTTGCCTACATTTCCTGGTTCCAATTTCGATACGCAAGCATTAAGTGGGACAAAATAGAAAAAAAACAAGAGATTCTGTGCAGCCTATTATATTCACTAGCGTAAACAATGCAACTTTTGGTTGATGCTAAGTAATGGCCCATTAAGACCATCAAGTTAATTGAAAGTAACATGGGGAAATTCAAGGAAATACTAATGTATATCTTGAGAGTTTAGTGCTATATTGCGAGTGACTTTTTAAAATATTTGATTAGAATACAAAACTTCGGCATTATAAGTTCAGACTAAGTGCATCCGCTGCAAACTTGCATCAACACAAGTCTCTCTTGTAGGTATCCTTTAACGGCGTGTGTGCGTTCCACATCACAGCGCTTTGTTCTCCTGGTTTCGTGTCCAAGTCCGGCGTCGTGCCTTGTTTCAAGTGTCCGAATGGGTACTACCAGCCTAAGCAGGGACAGAAGGTGTGCCGCAGGTGTTCCGACGATACCAGGGATGATGCGATAGCCCCAGGCAGCGCGGTCTTGGGACACTGCAACGGTAAGTCACCTAACTTATGCTATGGCTGTCCAAGAATTGTATACCGACCACACATACAAATACACTGCTCCAAGTAGTAAGAATAACTCTTTACATTTAGAGACATTCTAAGTCTGTAGTGGCGTGGGTATTGCTGCCCAACCCAAGTAGAACAGGGGATCAAAAGTGATTGATTGATATGTGGAGTTTAATGTCCCAGAACCACCGTAAGATTATGAGAGACGCCGTAGTAGAGGGCTCCAGAAATTTTGACCACCCGGGGTTCTTTAACGTGCACCCAAATCTGCGCACACGAGCCTACAACATTTCCGCCTTCATCGGAAATGCAGCCGCCGCAGCCAGAATTCGATCTTGCGACCTGAGGGTCAGCAACCGAGTACCTTAGCCTCTAGACCACCGCGGCGGGGCAGAGGATCAAAAGTGATAAACACGATGACGTTATCACATAGTTTAACAGAATGCGGGAAGCAGCCTTCACAACCCTTTAATGTATTCTCGTCATGTCTCGTTTTTAGGTTCTGCTCCATCAACTGAGAGGATGGACCTGCGAGACTTTGTGGAAGCCAATTCTTGCCTTTCTCAACCATGCTCAAACGGAGCAACATGCATTGTAGTGCCTGCTGGTTTCCTGTGCAAGTGCCAGCCTCCCTTTGCAGGTAATGCACGTATGAGTGTGGACTGTGCAAGCGTGTTTAGCCTACAGAGAAACTAGTGTTCCAGTAGTTAAGTTAGACATAAATTTATGATGACCATGATTAAATGCAATGAGTACTTAGGACAGTTTGTACAAGTGTTTTACGATTTACAAACCAGTGAGGCCACCTTGGTGTACATACTAGATACAAAGCGTCTAGTGCATAGTAATTTAGGGGCAAGTATAGTAAATTGTACACACTATTATTGCCCTATGTAGAGTATTAAAAATTTTTTCAAAGCAAATATTTGCAGCCGAGCTTTCCAATACTCAAGTTATTCCGCTGCAAACCACACTAGGTTATATGAATGAACTGCCTTTAGAAAAGCTCAGCATATGTAGCACTCAATGTAAGCCTTGTGTGTCGCATATAATTTTGTTCATAATTTCTCTTATTCCAAAGGTCCACGATGTGAACGCAGAAGAAACCAGTGCACTAAGAATCCATGCCGATTTGGAGCAAAATGCACGGAAGAACCAAGTGGCTTCAGCTGTCTTTGCCCTGCAGGCCGAACGGGCGCCGACTGCTCTGAAGACATTAATGAATGTACCCTGACTCCTTGCCAAAACAATGGCACTTGTTCCAACACGCTCGGCAGCTTTAGCTGCAACTGTAAGCAAGGGTTCGCAGGTGAGTGCTTCTTTATTTCCACCCTGCTATGGCATGCTTAGTAGTGTCGTCAGAGACTCTTCTCGACTTTCATTCTTTCACAACCCATTTCCTCCTCCCAAGTAGTCATTGCCCAACTGGAGATCTCCTCTGGTTAACCACCAGTGTTGTGTGCGTCTTCCTTCTTTCTTGTGTCCCGTGGTTTCACTGCCATTTCAAGTAACATGAACCAACCGGCTTGGATATAAACTCTCCTTAATCACCCTATATTTAATTTAACCCTCTCTCTCTCTTTCTATAGCTTGAAATAACACTGAATATTTTGTATGCAATAGCTCTTGATCAAAGGGAAATACGAAAACGAGCTCACTGCTTTTAACAGTATAAGTATCATATCAGTGTCCCCTTTCATTACCAGGCATTGCTCTTATAACCAGAACATAATGCCCTTGAAATTTCTTCCTTATTCTAATTTCCCCTGTTGTTTGAGCAAACTGTGAATGTGTCGCGCCCCCTGAACAATATTTCTCTTAATTAACAAAACACTTCTGATTTAAAATGTGCTTTGTTTCTTAATGACAACATGCTGATTAACCTCCTGAACTTTGGTCCTCACAGTCGAACCTGTCTTTAACTCATACATAAAGTTATGCAAAGTTGATACAACGGCATGCACACTTGTTGCAATGATGATGTTGCACTGAAGAAACCTGCCAAAGCTGTAAGCCCATGCTGGGTAGAAAAGAAATGAAAATTTAAAAAACACTTGTAGTGAACTTACAGTATGTATTTTGTACAACTGTGACAATTTAGACTGCTTCATCTACCTATTCTCAATTTATACCTGGACTTCAAGTTATACAATTTTGCATTGATGTGAGTGAATAAACTTTACTTTTTAGAGCAAAAACCATGCTTTTGATGACCAAAGGTGAATGGCTACTTCATGCTGATGAACTATGGGCTTGTGCTAATAGCCCGGTCCTGTTCATCAACTGTAGCTGATCCACAGATATTAGGCTAGTTTATTAGCTCAGACTCATATCAGGCATCATTTGATGCTTCTATGGGTGTTGTCTGCGTGTTCTTGTAGTGTTTTCAGACTATACATTTATAAACTCGGCCTGAAATGGCAAACGTCACAAGTATGTGGAACACATGTTGAGAGCAGGCATTGGTCCAACACAACAATGTATTATATAGGGACATGAACAAACAGGCTTCTAATAGATTGAGCATTCTGTTAAAACTGTGAGGATTATTTTTTGGTAATTTTTTTATGAGTAATCCCACTTAACGTTGTGTTGCAGGTCAAACCTGCTCTGAGGATGAAAACGAATGTTTGAGCACACCATGCCTGAATGGAGGCACGTGTTTGGATCAACCTGGAAACTTCAGCTGTATCTGTCCTGCGTTGTTTGGAGGCCGCTGGTGTGAGGAGGAGCTGGATGCCTGTGCGAGTGGACCTTGCCTCAATGGTGCGAAATGCGTGAACCTGGGATCCCACTATAGGTGAGTGCGCATTGATCTACTGATGCTTTGATTGATCTGTGTGCTTTACCAAGCATTTTACTGTGCTATCTGCAGACAGTCACACGCATATGAGGTGTGTCGAATGCACTAGGTTTGCATTTTGGGTAAAGCAGACAGGTTGTAGGCGCCTTATGAGCCGGTCAAAGCCGACAAGATGGAGAACTTAACGATGCGATGGAATCCAACAGTGTACAGAATACCACACTTGGAGGAAAAAGGAGGAAAGAAATAAGCGGAAAGACGAGGAGATTAGCCAGTTCTTAGACCGGCTGGCTACCCTGTGCTGGGGAAAGAAGTGAGGGGAATGAAAGATGATAGAATAGATATGTTACAAAGAGAGAGAGAGAGAAAAGACAAAATATTGCAAAATAGGGAAAGCAAAATAAAAAATAACATGACACTAAAGTCTGTCTCTAAGGCCAATTGTCTGCAAAAAACATAATGAAGCTTTCAACGTCTTCTGGGCTGAGAATTGACTCGACCAATGTCGCAAAATCCTTTGTTCCGACAAAGGCCGATCATCTAGTTCATGTAGAGCTTCAGTAAGTTCTTGTCTTGGTGCGCTGAAATGGGTACACTCACACAGTAGATGGGCGATTGTTTCTTCGCAGCTACAGTAATTGTATGTAATTGTAAGCAGAATATAAACTGTAGTGGCAGCGACTATGGTTCAATTGATGGAGAGATTCTAGAAAGGGTGATTACGAGTTTATGTATCTGCAAAAAATGCATAAGAACCATTTCACACCAAGAGAACACAATGGATCGTGTTCCTTGGAATGCAAATACTCATAACTGCCACTTTTGAAACTGTTTTAACTTTGAACAAGGCCTGCAAGGCCCAAGTAACCTTTCCATAGGCTGTTGGGCATACCACCAATGCGCAACGCTGTCTTATGGTTGCGTGAGGTTGACCCCCGTTGACAGTATTTTGCCACTAAAGAGATGTGACAAAACAGGCCAGGGAACCAAGAGAACAAGAAAAGAAGCTAGAAGCTGATTCATTAGTGACTACATGGCTGGTTACTTTTAAATACATTGTTCAGTACATCTCTTTGAACAAAAATGAAATAAACTTGTTTTTCTTCTTTAACTCTCAATAACTTGAAATTAATTTTCTTTAGTATTCGCCCCATTATCAGAACAACTCGAAAAGAGAGAAGTCTGATTTTTTACCAGGATAAACTAAACACCAGTGCAAAGCTACTCAGCTAGAATGGTGTACGTATGCAGAATAGTTTTCATTTCTTGGCAGTTTTATTTTTAAAATAGAGCAAAATAATTGCTTAGCTAAACAGTTTTTAGAAATGTCAGTAATTAAAATGGAAATTAAATTCTAACTCTATTGCGAGAATAGATGTTGACTAATGAAATGAAAAAAAAAAATGCACTGACTATGGTGACAGGGCCCGTCAACTCAGTACTATCATTAGAGTGAGGAGGCCCGTCAGCGTAGCACTATATCTGCGGTTGTAGATGTGACAGTGCTTCCACATAACTACCCGCTACCTCTGCTCCTCGGAGAAGACTGGTTTCAAGCTGCTCAAGCAGAACTCATGGTGAAGCCACCAAAGCCCACGAAACTTCACCATCTAACTTCACATTATCGTTGCCATGACTGCTGAAGAAGCACAGGACAAACACTGCTCTGTTTTTTGCACTTGTTTGTTCAAATTTCACTGATTTTTATCATCATTTTTCAACAGCCTGAGTTTCACCACTATTCAAAACCCGGGCTCCTGACTTGGTTCGCAGATGCGTGTGCTCACCCGGGTACCATGGTGAGCACTGCGATATCGACATCGACGAGTGCTCCACAGCGCCATGTAACGCGGGCGCAACGTGCCTGGACCTCGTTGGCCGGTTCGCATGCTCCTGCCCGCCTGGACTTACTGGAAGATTGTGCGAATCAGGTGAGGTTGCAGTATGAACCGAGCCATCGTGCAATATGCAAGTTTGTTAGCGCATCACCATAAAGTTCATCACTTGAATCAATGTACTGGTGGTTAGAAAAATGCGACAGAACCAATTGTATTCTCTGGAGACAATGTAGCGTTCGACGTCGGCACATTATCAAACATGGAAGACCCCATGATGTACCTATTGCTTTCTCGTACTCCATACCGGCAGTATCATGATTGCTTTCCTGCTTGTTTGTGTAAGTATTTGCCCATGCTTAATGAAAGCTATAAGTGTGCATAAAATGTTTAACTCTAAAAGCAAGTTCCGCCGTCTCCTTTACCAAGCACTTGTATTCCAGGCAAGCTGGTATAATTGAACGTAAAAACCATATAACGTCATAAGGCGATGTCATTTCCGAAGATGCACTGACTGAGATCTTAGTGGTTTTGTTGAATATCTATGAATACCCAAAGAGAATTAAGACAAAGAACATGATAATATGAACTTCCCTATTCAGCAACATCACAATAACATGCGCAGTGCAATTTACCACATTAGTTGCCTCTGCACTTTCCTCAATAAATCTTGAAACATTTCAACAGTTGAATTAGCTGTATTTTTCTCCAATCACTTGCGTCGGCAGTAGCAGTCTTGATGGACTGGCCAAAAAGCTGACCTATACAGCAGATGTTTCTACAAAGGCTTGAAAAAAAAAATATAGGGTCTTGAATTATGTTGATTTGTCTCTCTTTTCCTGCTTTTACTAACTGTAAGCATTTACAATTATTTTTGCTTTACAGAAGCTGACCCTCGTTTCAAGCTTCAGTTTTCCGGCACAAATGTATTTGACAGGGCATCCATCAAGTCACTGAGAAAGCCTATGACTGAACTGACAGCTTGTATGTGGTTGAAAACAACGGACAGATACAACTATGGAACGCCATTCTCTTACGCAACGGATATCACTGACAATATGCTCACCTTCACAGACTACAGCGGGTGTGTGCCACCAAGCATTTGTTTGTTATATATACGTAATAATGCCACTCTTTGCCCCATTTTCATTCTTTGGTCAATGCAACTCTCTGCACAGAGTTCAAGAGAACACAATGATGCATGAATGAACCACAATATGCAGTACAATACCACTTTACATAAAAATAAAGTATAGATATTGATGGATGTTTAATTTATCATCGTTTGTATGGTGCTATGTGAGACAAGATGTTGTTATGTGGGGTTTAACGCCCCAAAACCACCATATGATTATGAGAGACGCCGTAGTGGGGCAACGAAAATGGAACGAACGCTCATGAAATGCGTGCAGGTGTAGAAGAGGCTAAGATAAGAAAGTAGTCTCAATTTGAAGCTAGCAATGTATTTCGTTTTACTATTAAGGCCTCTCTCAGTCCTTCATTTTGTTTGTGGAACAAGTCATAACTGTTATTCTTGAGCTAAAATGTCTTTTCATTGTTCTCACAAAAAGCTATTCTATTGGCTGTATATTTGGTCTATTCAAATATCTGCACTGTCCTACAGTTTCGTGTTGTACGTCAACGGGCACCGCATTGTCACGGACATCACAGCAAATGATGGGTACTGGCACCATGTGTGCTTCAGCTGGTCTTCCAGTGAAGGCTTGTGGAGCATTCTCAAAGATGGCAGACTGGCAGAGAGTGGTACTGGCCTTGCTCCTGGCATAGAGATACCAGGTGCGCATGTTTGCAATCTGCAGACACCTAGCAGTACAAACATACAATCTTTCATAGTTCTTTTGCTTATTTATTTATTATAAATGGTGAAATATAATCACTGTGTTTTGATTGCTCATAAGAAAAAATGCAGTTGCTGTTTCATTAATAGTGCCAAGATAAAAGCTGCAGCTTTTTACTTGTTCAGAGTGCTCAAAAAGTTTCAAATTAAGGGTTAATTGATATTGGGTGCAAAGGTATAACAATGGCATTTCGTGTTCCTTCGTGATCTCACTCACAAGCACTGACCAACGTTTAAGCTTTACTAGCTTTACTAGCATTAATGATTTATGCAGCTGTGAATTGATAGTGACTAGCCGTACTTGCAAGAAACTTTCACACTCTGTTAGAGTTACATTCTTTACACAGCACACATCGCTCTAAAGAAACAAAGTATTACTCCTGATTAAAGGTGTACAAATATTTAACAATTGCCTCTTTCTGACAGGGTGTGCTTCGCGGCACAACCACAGTCATCGTGCACTGCTAGTTATCCTTGATGAAAGTGACTTGGTCTCCTATATGTAAAAGAAGAAAAAAATACTTTTTTCTTTGTTAATGTCTCCTCTATTCCTACTTTTGTTGCACGTGTTTCCTGTCATTTGGTGATTTCTTTTCTCCTTGCTTCCCTTCCTCCTATCTTCAGCTGTTATTTCTATTTCCCCCCCTCTTTGTTGTGCCCTTCCTAGTGGAAGTTGCCAGCCTGCTTCTTCTCTATTTCCTTTATATATACTATATATGTAATAACATGCACGTGTTCTCAATTCAAATAATAATATCAAAGGAGAAACAGCGTATTCATTATGACATAGCTTATACCCATTTCCTTCATTACGTTTTTTTGTCCTATGCATGCACAGCTAATGGAACCCTTGTCCTGGGCCAGGAACAGGACAGGCAAGGAGGCAGCTTCTCCATCTCCGAGTCGTACTCTGGCGAGATTACTCTTGTGAACATGTGGAGCACCGTGCTAAGCGTCGAAGAAGTGGCCTCGCTACTCACGTGCTGCGAGTTCTACTTCGGTGATGTGGTCGCTTGGACTGACTTCCGGAACAGTCTTAGCGGGCACATCTTGGCGGACAGCTGGGGATTTTGCCAAGGTGAACAGATTGAAAGGACGCTCTGCATCCACCTCAGTAGCATTGAGAAGTGCTGGCTAACACACCCAAGCCTAAGTTGTGCCTCAGGTTGATGGAACTATGAGGTTTAACCTTGTACACAAGCATCTTAGTAGATAGTGGGGGGTACAGACACTGCCTTAGCTCAGTCAATAGGCCTTTATAGTGTATGGTAGGTCCACCTGTTATCACTGGTAAACTTCATTTTGTACCTCTTTATTTTCCCCTTTTCATGAAATATTTCTAAATTAAATAACACATTTATTTTCTATATGCTTTTATTTGACTTCATGTGTAGCGCTCCTTATAACATATAAAGCCTGACTGAAGGTTCAATGGGTGCCTCATGCATCATACACTGGGAGACGATCCAATCTAGAGCCTGCATTGGCCCTGTGCCACGCTTTCGAGTTTTCTTTTTTACTGCGTACAATCTCATGAGCGGAATTGTTCTCTGCATCTGTGAAAATACAGCTTCATCAATATTTATTTATTTATTTATTTATTTACTAAAAGTAACTCACTAGCCCCCCATATTAAAGAGAACCAACAGGCTAACAGGCAATAATGCAATGGAGAGTATGGGAGTTAGGACGCCCTGAGGGACCAGTTGGTTCATTCTATGCAGGAAAAATTGAGATAAAATAGAAAAGGACACCACAAAGAAAGAACAGCAAACAGATCGAGTTGTGCTCAATCTGTTTAGTGTTGCTTCTTTATGATGTGCTTTTCTACTTTAGCACAATTTTCCCTGTATGAGGCATTTCAACGGGAGTAATTATAATTCAAACGAGAAGAAAGTAAAGTTGACTAACAGATAACTTGTCGCTGGCAAGGACCGAGCCTGCGACCTTTGAATAATGCTTCCGATGCTCCACCAATTGAGCTACAGCGGCAGTTCATGGCAGAACATCCCTCAGAAATGGCAGCATTGAACTGCTCGAATCGTTACCTTCACATGACCCACACTATCTTACGTGAAATATATTTATTTAAAGTTCTTAATGTACACTATATTATTTAGGTATTTTTTTGTGGAGCCATTCTGAGTGATGTTGTGGAATTCTGTATGTTGTGATTAACGATGCAAGAATGGCAACAGTTTCTAATTACTAACAAAAACCTTCTGCCACCACTAGTTTGTGGCCCTTGCTCACAAATTGAAGCTGGCCAATGGTTGTTCCTTGCTAAAGCGTTGACCTACATGGTCAAGTTAAAAGTTGGGAAGTAAAAGGCAAAACAGTGCACTTACTCATGTTTGTTTTCACTGTTTATCACGTCACTGTTGTAACCTGAAAGTGAAAGGCAAAACAGTGCATTTACTCATGTTTGTTTTCACTGTTTATCACATCACTGTTGTAACTTGAGCCTTGAGCCAGTGCTCACTGTCCTTATGCAAGACGAGTCCATGTTTGTCGGTGCATGTGTTAGGTCATGTTTGCTGATCCATTAATAAGCAAATATAAACACTGCTTTGTGTAAAGATGTGATATATTTCTGCTGCTATCAGCACACTTTTCGAGTGAAAATGCGAAACTAAAACTGCAATTCAACATATATGTCGTCGTGCTATTGCACTTTTGAACACATTCTTAAATGATAGAGGTACAGCTCACCAGGAAAGAAAAGTTCAGTATTTCTTGAACCTAGAAACATGATGCTCTTTTCCGATTTTTTTGCATACAACTTGCGAGCACCCTGAGGTCGTCAGTGCGTCCGACGACACATGCATAATGTTCTGCAACCGATCTGCGTGCTTCAGAAGTGCAAAGTCCTCGCATAACTTCAGCATTTCTTCCACAAGGTGGAAAGAAAATGACTGAGTTCCCTACTTGAAAAATATGCTAAGAACAAAAGTTTTGTTTACAGAATTAAGTGCCAAATTTAGGCTACTATCAAATGTTTTGAATGCTATTCAAGTAGTTTTTTTTATCAGTATAGCTGGTCCTGTAGTACACGGGGACTTGAATAAAGATCAGCGTGTCACTAAGCATATAGGGCTGCTTTTCATTAACTCCTTCATAAAAGCTATTTCAAATGACACAGGGCAATTTTAAAGTGATTCATTCCACTCAGGCTTCTGGAGATCTTGCGTAAACAAAATTTTCTTGCCTTGGACAGGGTGTCCGCCACCACCGGCACCCATCCACGGAATCGCCAGCTTCTCAACAACCAATACTGCATCTGTGGCCACCTACAGCTGCGACCAAGGGCACACTGTTATGCGGGCCACAACACGTAGGTGCCTCGCTTCAGGAGAGTGGTCACATCCAATACCAGCTTGCATTGGTGAGTACAGTCACTGCATTGCATAACGTATTACTTCCATTATGATGCAGCTGACATAAAGTACATTATGGGTAACCCCTTTAAAGTTGCACATCTGTGAGCTCACCCCTCTTCCTCCTCTTAAAGAAAATAAATAAAGGGTGGAAGGCTATAGCAACTGTTGTCGAGTCCATTCGCTGTCATTACCAATCAGTGTTCTTCCATGGTTATTACAATATACAAGCACTACCCATAATCAGCTGTTCCTCTGCTTGATACAGCTCGTGAGCTCACAGAATCAATATCAAGCATTCATTTATCGGTCCTGCCTCATTTTGAGCAGTTATTTTAATATTAGTTAATGGATTTGGTTTCGCTATGTAGGTCATCTTTTGTAGCTGATGATGCATACAAGCAGTTTTTTTTCCTTAAAACAAGTGTCAAATGTCAATGTTAAGCATCATACTGAGTGATTTAACTCCACCATTCGCATCATAATATTCAACGAAAAAAGGGCACCAAGAAAAGTCTACCAATGCCCCTGGAACCCATAGAACACTTAGCACCATGTGTAAGCAGTTCATAAGAAAATTTACCACGCACTCTACAAGTACACGAGTACATAAGTACATGTCCATGACGGTATGAACCTTCGTTTGTTGCTATTTCATGCTTCTACTCTACTCATGAAATAGAGCCATCATCTGCAACAAAATTCAAACAAAGCAAATAGCAATTATTGCTATGGCATATTGCTATACAGGTGCATAAAAACTACTCCAAAAATTTTTCTTCAGGTGTACCATGTAGAATCCCTGCAGAGCCAGCAAATGGCAACGTCCAGGGATCCGTGTTCCGGTACTCGGCCAAGGTCACATACGTTTGCAGGAGCGGCTACCGGATCCTCGGTTCTAGTGAACGGCACTGCCAGGAGGATGGACAGTGGAGTGGAGAAGAACCGCAGTGTGAGAGTAAGATGTTACCAAGGTGCCTTCATTACCACACTACACTCGCAACTGTTAATATTAACAGAAGGTGCAAGCAATACGACAGGCCCAAGCAAAAAACAGGCCACTGCACAATTGCACTCAGACCACAGCAACTCTACATTTGTGCAGAGGATCAAAGCAGTCAGTTGCTGTCAAATGACAAATGTCGGTGAAGCCAACACTTTGACAGACAACGATGACGTGTAATCTTTCTGATCCTGCCATGGCGGCAACACTGTCTCTCTGCACAGCTAAGCACATAGACATATGTTCCATGTAAACTGCGGCTGATCTATTGGCTGGGAGAGCAGAAATTACAGGTGGCTTTGAATTTACATACAATCTTTCAACAAGCCTGCAGTTGGAGTTGACATTATAACTAGGTTTATGGAACATATTGAAGCAAGCGGCAACATGATGTTTTTTTTTTGCTTAACTCTGCATGCAACATTCATGACTCCAACATCACAGCAGGTGTTTGCGATCATCAAGTACACAAGCTTGATAATGTGATTAGTAAGATATTGACTATTGCAAGAGATATGGCGAATTGGCCAATAAAGCTACAAAGCTCATTTTGCATACTAGTCTTGTACATTGTTATTACTTTCAATGTGACACCTTTCAAGCAAAACCATGACTCAGTCAATCCAGTTGGTAGGGAACAGATGGAATGAATCTCCTAGCTTTTAGGGAGAACAGGTATGACTTCAATAACACTGAACACTAACAAGAAAAAATTAGGCATGATGGGTACATTTTCACTACTCTTCACACGTGTTATCATTTTTGAACAAACAAGGAGGATGGAGGCCATAGTGCTGGACCTTCATACTCAATGCGTATAAAGAGTTCACATACCAAAGTGCCTGTGAAACATTTTAGGTAAGACAATGTCATACAATGGATTATTGATGACTTCAGAGAGGAATAAGCATACCAATTCTAAATTTGACAGTAGCTAATAACCATGACTTGAACAGTATATTCTGTTATTAAATTATCCATCAAGATTTGTCATTTAATAAATGTATCAGGAAACAGACTTCTTGCAATTTCAATTATGCAGAGGGTGAAAAGTCTCAACATAAATAAAGGAATATGAGAAGATGCACCATATAAATAGTCTGCAATAAAGTAAGTGCACAATTACAACATTATCTTGTTTTTGTGTTACAAAAGCCTTATGCAAAACTGAGCAAGGGTGCATAGATATGATTTAACGCATATAGAATTCAAATGCTTTGAAGTTGTGAACATAAAATGCCAAACCCTCAATTCTACAGAATTTTTCGTTTTTCATGTTATTTCACAGGCATCACATGCAACGGATATCCGCATGTGGCTAACGGAGTGCTTGCTCCTTCCAACGAGAGCCTGTTTCGGCCAGGCTCTAAGCTACGAGTAATCTGCAATGAGGAATACAAATTTATCGAGGGGGAACTCGTGTGCACAGAACGTGGTGAATGGAGTCCTCCTAATGCCATCTGCCAGCCAATCAGCTGCCAAGAACCACTGACAGTAGCCAATGGTGTTGCTGGACTCGCTTCGGAAGTGGATGGTGCACGCGTCGTTGTGACGGTCACCTACTCTTGTCACAACGGGTTCGAACTGAGAGGCTCGAAGAATTTGACCTGTGACATAGGAGTTGGAATGTGGTCGCACGACCCACCGACGTGCGAGCGTGTGTCTTGCGGGAAGCCCACCAACCTGTCAGCAGGAGTATTGTGTGAGGTTGGCAACAAGCACTTCTTCGGGGACGTCGTGAGGTTGGTGCTTTTGTCTTTTCATTTTTTTTTCGTTTTCGTTATGCATTATATAAGACACGCTGTCGTTTCATGCGTTAATGTTGCCAATGCAGCTGTCGCTGCAGTTTCGGCTACAAGATCTCCGGTCACATGGAGATGGTTTGCCTGGCTAACAAGACATGGTCTTCGCTGCAAGCAACATGCACACCTGTGAAGTGTCCAAGGCCCGTGGAACCACAACATGGGGAAGTAGTCGCCACAAACTTGGAGTTTGGAGGAATGGCAAATTACCTGTGCCACCCTAATTACACATTACTGGTGAGGGCCTGTTACCTGCACATACACCCTATTAGTACTTCTTAGTGCGGTCTTAAAGCTGTCGCATACAGGCGAACTTAATACATAGCTGAAACACAGTTTTTAGATGAGGGGCTTACTTTACAAACTCGTGTAAGGGCCCCACAGTTCTTTTGCACATTTCGGTGTGGTGCGGCCCTCCCACGGAGGTGTGAAACTTTTGTTCAGTTTTCGGTCAACATATAGAAAAAGCTATTTAATGGCGCCATATATACCTAAAGATGGGATATCTGGCGTCTAGCTGCAGACGTCCCCATTAGATGTCTTCATCGGTATCGCTGTGTGGGCTTGGCTCGTTGACAATGCTCTGGTAATCCGCAGTCACAAAACACTGAATGAAGTATATTTATAACGGGGAGAAAAGGAACAAAAACAGCATTTATTTGGCTCAGCTTGATAAAAACTATGCTTTCAAGTAGAGTGTTTAGCGCGTACTCAATTTCACGATTTAATAATAAATATGCTCATAAACAAATTTCTACTACATTTTAACAGTAAAACTGAAGCACGACCCTTTCTTCACCTACAGGGTAGGGGGGAGGGAGATACCAGCTTTATGCGCTGACCTTTCTTTTCAACTTATCTAGCTTTCTTTATCCACACCACAATTAGCTTTTGAAATTCGTCAAGTTTTGGCACCAGAAGTCCTCTCTCTCTCTTTTTTTTTTCGTTTTGCTTTCTCTGTTTACCATCGAGACTATAATGTTCGTTTCGCAGAATCTTCGTCGTTGTTGGTTACTGTGAGAGTTTGTCTTAACAGAAGACTTGTGTTACGCGGTTCGTCTTAAGCGGATTTTTTTTTGCATTGTGTCTATGGGAAACCAAACAAACACTCCTTTGTTGTTCGTCTGAAGCAAGAACTCGTCTTAACAAAGTTCATCTTGAACGGAGTGCAGTGTGTTCATGCTTTCTTTTTTCTGGTACAACAGTACAAGTTGTAGACAGAATGAATTGCATCAACAAGACCGATGCATCACTCTCTTGCTCTCTAGGGGAACCGCTGGAGAAGATGCAACTATGATGGGTCATGGAGTGACCATGAGCCACTGTGCATTCCTCTCGAATGCCCTTCTCATCCGCCTGTCACTAACGGGAGGTATGTTCGAAAAGCATTACACCATCCCCTCAAATTAATCACAAGTTCCTGCTTTCAAGAATAAATGTCTGTGTTGAATTTTTATTATTGGCCTCATTTGCGCTAACATCAACTCTTGAGGGATGCCGCACTGTGCAAAATTCAGGGGGAAACATAAATTCTGAGAGCATAAGGTTATGTGCACCAAAATATTCATTTGAAAGTGTTTATGTACTATTAGGTAATCCAGATAGAACACACGTGCTGTCATGTTAGTTCTTCGGTTTTTACGCTACAGGCGACACACATCACATCTGTTCAGCGCCACTGCTGTAGCTTCACCAATCATCAGCCACACATTCTCAATTGACCATCACAATTCTGGTTGCATGACCACAATTGATTAATGCCAGCCCATAGTTATGAAAATTATTTGGGCTGTGTGGATTGTTGCTGTCAGTGATGCATGCAACCACTAAGACACATGTCGAGAAGATATTAGCACAAGACGCGTGACACAATTTTGAAATGTTTCAAAAATCCAAGTTTCTTGGTTTGAGATGCTGCAACTTTCCGAATGTGTGCCACCCCTGCTTTTACACATGGATCAAGCCTGCCACACTTGTTTTGTCACGCTCAGACACAAGATGCTACATGTTGTGATTTTTTCGTTCTATTCTTCAGCACTAGCGTTAGTCTTGTTTTCACTTCTAATGTGCCTTGATGGTCTTAATATAAGAATCTTTAGGGTTGTCCGTGAAATCCCATAATTCACGTTTGCTTCCACGTGTTTTCATGTACCTCATTTTTCTAGTGCAACATTACACAGTAAACATACTCGTTTCTCACCAGGACCAGTGGGTCCGCCCGGACACTGGGAAGCACCGTCTCAATCACTTGCTCCCATGGCTTCGAACTGCATGGCGCTTCTACACGAATATGCAACACCGCTGCTGAGTGGTCGCCTCCGAAGACACCTTTGTGCGAACCTGCAGGCTGCTCCGACCCTATCGTTACTCCGCAGGTGGTGGTCTCGTACATGGACACTGCTCTGGGCAGCTTAGCACGCTTCTCGTGCACTGAAGGCTACATCCTGGTGGGCAACGAAGTGGCTGTATGCGGCTGGGCCGGACTGTGGGTGCAGTCGATTCCCGACTGCATACCGGTGGACTGTGGACCACCACCCCCGGTGAGATAGAGAGCATGGTGCATTATTTGGTCCTATATTGAAGGACATCGTCTTTCTAGGCATCGTCAACAGTTTATAAAGTGTGCATGATGACGTCCTTGAAATCAAGGATAATTTCTGACTGAAATCAAGTAGTCCCAAGTAGATGTCTTCCATAGCTAGCATTTAGTCGCACATACACGCATTATTCTGCCTTAGCAATGCACCAGAAACACTGTTGCTTACATACCTTACATTGGTGCTGAGTAACATGAAATCTCACGAGTTACGTTAATCAAGAAAATTATAGACCGAAAAAATCTTTTACAGTGCTTAAATTAGGGACGCCTACAAGCTGGATGGCATTTCAACCAATATCTTGCCATATGACATCTTTATTCACCTGCTTCTATTTCAATTTATTTTTTCCATAATGTAACAGGTCCACTTTTTTATATACATAGATGAATGCTCACACTGCATCGAGCTCAAGTCTGTGGAATGTGATACGCAAGATTTTGGCTTTTGCGAATATTTGAATGCTTTGAATATTCAACCTAATAGTACAGTATTCGAATTTAAATAATAAAAAATTTCAAAGTATTTGAAATGGTGTATATTAGTCCACATGCAATTCCTGTAAAGATTATTTTACTGCAGTAGAGGAGTGCTAGGCCGTGAAAGCATTTATATAAATGTATTTTAGTTCGCGTGTTATTCCTTGTAAAGATGGTGTCACTGCACTAAAAGAGTGAAAAGCCATGAACACATCCATAAAAAAAAAACATTCGCACTGCCGCAAAGCCTCACTTTAAGGTTTAGATTCATCATGCTCATTTCATCAGTTCAAAACCACTTGCATTCCCCCAAAAGTAAAATTCTACTACTATTCAGAGTTGTGTCTACTTCCTTTAAGTCAGAAAAATGGCATTAAAACAGGCCTTCTACCAAGTTAAATAAATATATTTTGCAGGTTAGTTGACTAATGATAAATATGCTCATTTTTCTTTACGTGTGTGATATATACTATTCAAATTCGATTCAAGATTATTCGAACCAAATAACTATTCATAGTAAAATTTTTATGTGAGTTCAAGTCGCATAAGCAGTGCATTCCCCAATAAAAATATGGTTCACATTTGTACAAGTCGTACTGAGCTGCTGAAAAGCGGCAGTGCTGCTGGCATAAACAAGAATCGGTGCTAGTTTCTGTGTTATGACTGCTACTATATCCCATATTTTGAACATGTCGAAGCACACATTGAATCGTACAGGGCTAATGTTATTAAAGGGCAATCAGATTGGTACAGAAGTCTTAAATACACACACACATTCATGAGCGCATGTGCTTGTATCTTCAAAGATCTTTACTGGCTAACGTCCTCATGTATATGTGTGTTTTGATACCTGACATATTGAAAAAGTGGTTGCAATGGTTTGTTCATTTATTTTACCACCTGTAGCATGGTACAAACACATTGCCCTTGGCTCTGTGCAGCTAGAACAGGGACAAGCAGTGAAGACAGAGAGTACAAAGTTCCAAGGTGTGGCTAAGTACACCTGCCGACCGGGATTTCGTCTCCTGGGTTCTGGCCAAAAAATGTGCTCAGCGAATGGAACGTGGAATGGCGACATCAGATGCGACGTTTTATCGTGTCCCAAGCCTGAGCATGTCCCCCACGGTACTGCTGCGTACTCAAGCATCACGTACGTAATTTCTAACAGGCTTATATACGTCGCAACCAAAGTTGTTCCTGAGTCATGTATACTCTTAATAAACAGAACTGCTGTTAAATCGAACAGCTTCTTCTACTATGATTTGTTTTATGTTTGCATTCTTCACGTCTGGTCTATCAGTTAATGGGACTCCTGTTAAATAAAACATGTTTACCAGGTCCGTTCAATGAGACTCTATTGTATATACATTTAAAGCATTTGCAGCCACTTGGCAACCATCTTGATACAGTGGTGTAGGGTCTGAACAGAAGGTTTTTTTTTTCTTTTGTTTGTGCTATGTCTTTTTTTCTTGATTGCATTACAAATTAACTGAGATGACACACGTATGGCCAGAGTTGTTTTGGTACAACGTAACGGAGTTGAAGGTTCCCTCTAGCAAAGAAAACAATGCACGAACTGATATATTTGCTGATAGACTTGGACAGAGGTATCATTTTTTTTTTTTTTCCAAGCGGACCATTACAGGCATGGAAAGCTGACAAATCTGTATGCATGCATTGCCTACATCACAGAATAGAAAGTGTTTTGTGTGTATAATTGTGTGTCACTGATGATGTTATCTGCAGGAAAGATTAAGAATCGGAAACTGTGGATTGCCTTCGATATTTACACACAGTGTTAGTTAGTGCTAAGTGACCACAAATTTCCAACGATCTACTTAAAGAAACAAAGGCAACCCCTTCTTCAAGTGCTAGCTTAATGATAATTTTCTCAGTTCTCGTGTATCGCAACACAGTACTGTTCAATTCGCTGAGATACAACCATTTAGAGTACAAGCAAGTGTGAAACAATCATTTACGTACTCCCGATACAGTAGCTGTCAGCACTAAATTTGCCCTTAATTATTTCAAACTGTGGCTGTCCACAGAAGCACTAAAACAAGGCTTCTCTTGTGCAGATTTGGTTCTAGCATTGAGTACCAGTGCGATCCTTGGTTCGAGTTGCATGGGGTCCAACAGAGGATATGCCTGGCTGATGGAAAATGGTCAGGGTCAGTTCCACAATGCCTGCCTACGCCGTGCACAGTACCAAGACCAATCAAACATGGACGGGTCCACACAACGCCATCCTTCAGCCTGTTCTCTTGTGAATGGGGCTTCAGACTCGTTGGGCCCAAAGCCCTTCGGTGAGCGTTCTCAACACATGTGCTTTTACTCATGAAGCAGCTCTGTGAGCTTCATGGGAAAAGGGTGACGAAAATTAAAATGACAAAAACGAAATATCTTGCCTTTCATGTTAACAAAAGGCACGAAGATTGCAATACGCATCGAATAAACTTAAGTGCACCATTATTCAAAGCAGTTTCATGACGAAAAAAAAAACTACCAACAGGTGGCTGTCTTCTTTACCATTCTTAACCCTTTCTCCACCATGCAGGTTTCCGCAGAACTCATTCGCAAAGCTATATTCGTGTTACCATGGCATTCAAGCCCCCTTGAAGTATTATATAATTTGAGAACTTGCAGGCATGACCATTCTATGATAATTTTCGTTTGGTGACTTGTTGTAAGCTGCAGGTTTCACTTCTGGCTTACAGCAAGGTTCTCACAACAGCAGAAAATGTATTCAGTATCCCTTTGATGATATCTTCCAACATCGCCACCCTGATGGTGTACAGCATAGCTGCAAGAATATAAGCATTCATCTATCTGTTCGTGTTTCAGGTGCCGCGCTGATGGAACCTGGAGCGGTGAGCTTCCAGAATGTGTTCCCATGAACTGTTCGCTTCAAGGACAAGTGGCCAATGGCAGGCTAGTTCAGGACGATGCAACTGGAGAGACGGTTCGTGTGTCCTGCGACCCACGTTACCAACTGCAGGGTGTGAACCGCTGGACGTGCCTGGCCAACGGGTCATGGATCGTGCCGGGGGAGACCACGTGCCTGCTTGCCGAGTGTCCACCCCCTGATCCTCCGGTCAACGGAGTAGTTTCAGGAACAGATTTCAAGTAACTTCCACCAGCTAATTGATAGCTATAGGCATTTATCCAGAATTCTGTCAGTCTTTCTCTCTTTAGGTTAGGGGAGGAGGTTGTAACCAGTGGTGGTGAGTGGGACTGTATTGTAAGAGGGGATATGGGTGAAATTTCATTTCCAACCATTTGCTTTATTCACCTCCAATTACCTTAAAAATTTTCAGCACAAAAAAAAGCAACATTAGCCAGTGATGGTATCCTTTCTCTTTTTTTTTTTTTTTTTCAGTTTGTCCCTCCTAGTGGTACTGCACCAAAAACTAACGGCTTTTTGATCACAGTCTATTCCAGTTTAAAATGCTTAAAAAAAGGATTGAGCAGGTGCCAGAATAGGGTGATTGCTCAGTTGCTGTGAATGCGTGCAGAGAAAGAAAGTGACCTCTACAGACATCATAAGAACAGTGCCACAAAAAGGGTGGGACTTGGAACAAGGCTAAAAATGACTCGCTGGAGAGCATCTTTACACTATCGGGAAGATTCATAGCTACAAGAAGCCCAATCCACTTCCTATGTCGCACACGGTTATGCGATTTTACGCATGATCAAACTCTGAATTGTGCACAAAACATATCTCTCGTCATACCAAAATAAAGCACTTAATGGCGTTAATTTCATATTCATAGAGGTAGTGCTAAGGTACATGCTGAAAGGTATTACTTCCTATTAGTGGATGAAGGTACAAATTATCAGAATGTAAAAAGATCCGGTTCATTTGTGGTATGCACGAAGTAGCTGTCATTGAAAGAAGATAAGTTAGCACCAAACAAGGCCCAAAGCAAAGTAGCCTTAATCTGCTACTAGGCACATGTAGATATATTCAAGCACCTTGAATTCTCTTCAAAACTAATTTAAAATATATAAACTTTCAAAATATTCTAAATAAATGAATTAGCTTACTTAAACCGCAAAAGTCAAAGTGTGATGCTATTTAAAGTGGCTCCCACTTCCCTTTGAACCAAAAGGAATGACATTTGTAAATGCCTTGGTTAAATTTTTAAAAAAATATTGTGCAGGTCCACTGAGTCATGACAAATATGCTCATTTTTCTTTATAATATATGATGTATACTGTTTGAACTCAATTTGAAATTATAGGACAAAATTATGTCGCCAGTTTTGAAGAGACTTGGTTAATTCAGTGGCTGTAATCATTACAGCATATCAAGTGTCGTTTTCTACCACTGCAATCCGGGCTACACCCTGGATGGTCTACAGCAACGGACCTGCCTGGACACTGGACAATGGGAACGTGATGTGCCCACTTGCAAGGTGGTGAAAGGATGCGGCACAGCAGCTCACCCGTGTCCTAACTTCTCCTGTCCGGAACCTAAACAGCCCCTGAATGGTCATGTCACCTATGATCGACTCTCAGTGGGGGGCACATCCAGTTATACCTGCCAGCCTGGGTACCGCCTGTCAGGGCCACCTTCGAGGCTATGCGGCCGTGACGGACGCTGGGAAGGCAGGGAGCCCTCGTGCCGAGCCAGACGGTGCCCCCCTATGCAGGTACAGTCACCGGTGAATTGCCCTTACAGGAGCCAGAAGGCAGACACATACGAGATATGATCAACTTCAGCCTCAACTACAGATGAACTGTGAAATTTCGATCAGCCTTAGGTTTCCCAATTTAACTAATGGTTCAGTCCGAGTCAGACAATCACAAAGTCACTGATGAGTATAAGTGTCTTCACTGGTGGAGTGGAGCAGGAAACAGTTAAGTAACTCATGCACTAGCATGTCCATGTTGGCAATACGTTTCACGCCACACACCCTTGCCATCTCTTCGTTCTTTTTTCCGTACTTGTTTCAACAGTGACAGTTGTGTTTCCACCATTAAAATGTGCACATTTATGATTACGTGTTCTTTTTATTCTTGGCAGAGCCTTCTGTTCACAGCTGAATGAGCGAGAGACTGCAATACACTCCTGACTTTAACTTGCATTGTGGTCGATACTATTTCTTGTCGGTCCATATTGATTCATTTTTCAGGCTTAATTTAGCCAACACTTTTGTTAAGTGACTGATGCTCAGTCACATGCTCAGTTGCATGCTCAGACGCATGCATGCTCAGACGCATGCTCAGTTGCGGTCATATGACTCTGATAGCCTTATGCCAGAAGTGGAAATCACTGAGGATGGAGTCCTTTGCCTTTTACACAAACTAGATGTAAAGAAATCACCTGGTCCGGACGAACTATCTAATACTTTTTGAGTAGATATGCTGTTTGTGTGGCAAAATATTTACATCGCATTTACACTGCATCGTTAGACGCTGCAGTTATTCCTGATGACTGGCGCTCGGCAAAAATAATTCCGGTACATAAATCGGGCTCCCTTTTGGAAGTTAACAATTATAGGCCTGTTTCCTTAACTAGTACTTGCTGTAAATTATTTGAGCACATTATATTTAAGGTCATGATCACTTACTTAGAAAATAACAAACTACTGTATGCCCAGCAGCATGGATTTAGGTCTGGTTTGTCGACCGTCACCCAACTGGCTGAAATAACTGATGATTTAATTAGAACGCTTAATTTGAAAGGTCAAACCGATGCCATCTTTTTGGATTTTTTTAAGGCCTTTGACGTCGTACCCCATCAGAATTTAATAACAAAATTATTAGCTATAGGCATTGAGCAGAAGGTTGTAGCATGGATCGCGAGCTACTTGAGTAACAGAAGACAGTGTGTTACCATAAATGGCTGTCTCTCGAAAGAGTTGGCAGTGCATTCGGGAGTTCCGCAGGGCTCAGTCCTCGGACCTCTTCTTTTTTTGGTTTATATTAATGATATTTATTTTTGTGTCGAGCCACCGATCCAGATTAAACTATTTCAGGACGACTGCGTAGTGTACACATCCATAAATAACCAAGAAGACCAAATTAAACTTAATGATGCCTTGCGCTCAATTAACGAATGGTGTATAAGGTGGGGACTAAAAATAAATCGTTCAAAAACAAATTCCGTTACGTTTACCAACAAAACGTTACCCCTTCATTTCACATATTTCATAGGAAATGCTGCAATCACGAGAGCTGATCAGGTTAAATATCTGGGAGTTACACTTACCAGTAACCTCAGTTGGGAAACGCACGTTGAAAATGTGTGTTCGGGTGCACTGAAGAAATTATCCTTTTTGAAAAGAAAACTGCATAACACTCCTCCCACGTTAAAACTAAAAGCGTATAAAGCACTCGTGCGATCAAAATTGGAGTATGCCGACATTATTTGGAGCCCTTGGCAACAATATTTGATTAAGAAAATAGAAAGGGTCCAAAATTTAGCTCTGCGCTTTATATATTCCGCTTACTCCCGACAACATAGTGTAACTAATCTACGTAATAGGGCAAGCCTACAAATACTAGAACAGCGCAGGATAATATTCAGATTAAAGTTCGTCTACCAACTTGATCACGGGGACTTTAAATTATCACGGGAACGATACCTTCAGCAGCCTTCTAAACTTTCAGCTAGGACAAATCACAACAAAACGTTTAGGCAGCCACCCAGCCACATTAATGCCCACAAGTTCGCTCTCTTTCCTTGCGCAATTTTTCATTGGAACGCATTACCTGCGGAAATAGTGAATGCTGCCTCGACGGCTTCATTCACTCAACAGATAGAAAAGATTAATTTCACCATATAAGTGATGTATGCTGAAAATAGTGTCATTTGAGCGCAATTCATCCGGCTACAAATGTTGAAAAATATTCTTAGTTGAGCGCAGTTCTGTTGAACAGCGAGAAAATATATTTGACTTTTCTGTACTTGATAGTTACGTATTCTTTCATTTATGCCCTGTACTCTAGTGTATTACTAGTTATTGCTTGAATGTATTGTTTGTATCCCACTCCTGCATGGGCCCGGGTAGGGCCTGCAGTATCTGTAAATAAATTAAAAAAAATATTCACTATTAGACACGCAATGCCTCCTTATGTGTTCAAATGCTTCTCTGCAGGCCACACCAGAGCATGCCCGCGTCGACTACACGGGATTTACACAAGGCCACAATGCCACCTACTCCTGTGACATGGGTTACTCGGCCCGGGGGTCCTCCAGATCTGTCTGCCAGTCAGACGGATCCTGGAAGCGGGAGGGTACATTTGAATGCCTTCAAGACCACTGCCCACACCTCCAAAGCCCGGCCCGAGGAAGGCTGATTATAGAGGGTGCCTGGGTGGGGGCCAAGGCTCATTATGAATGTGATGCTGGTCACACTATGCTGGGTGGTGCCTCTCGCGTCTGTGAAGCTGACGGCACATGGAGCGGAAGGGAGGCTTCCTGTGTCGCTCCTTGAAGTCTTTGTCCTTGAACTGTGTCTGATACAAAAACTTGAATATATAGAAGAACAATGCGACTTTAACTGTGCACGTGTTTTAATACTGGAGGTGAAGAGATGTAGAAATATATTTAATGCAAGCTGGAGTTTTTTGGCCAGCCGAAGGGCCAGCATACTGTCTCACATGCTGGGTGAAAGCTGTATGTAGAAAGTGATCAGAAAAGCACAAATAGCATATACACCTACAGGTGTGTACACAGAGTCAAACTGTCAATAAAGTCTCTCTGCCCATGTCCTGGTGCTTTTTTGCAGCACCTCGACAATTCTCGTGCTGTGCTATTTGCTCTCCCTCACTCTTTCCACCCTCTCCTCTCTATCAATCTCTTGCATCCTGTCCATGCGTCGGTAAACCGATTTGCCTGGACTAATTAACCTAGAATATCAGCCGTTCTTTCTCAACTATTTCTTCTCTCTTTATTGTTCTCATAGCTAGGCAGGCGAAGCACAGCTCTCAAAAGAAAAGGCGAGCAGCCCTTATCTTGAAGTTAACCCGTTTTCATGGCTCACAGCAATTTTGCACTATGCAGATACAACTGCCATTGAGCAATCGATGCAATGTGTTTGCCTATTTGCTCTGCCTAAACTGCTACTGCAGACTTTTCACGGTGTCTTCTGGTGAGCTGCACTTCTATTTCGTAATAGCGACCACATGTTCATCAGCTCCAACAAATGACTTGTTTGAATGCAGGGGTGTCACAAGCACAACGATAGCGAGGACAACATGTCGCGAGGAGCAATGCAAAAATGTCTTGAGCATGCAGCACTATAGCCATGATATAAAGCCAAAGATAAGGCTGGCCTGATTATGCCAACCAGATCTATTGAGGATTATTTACGGTAACAGTACCACATATTCTCTTCTAGTAAGAGCATTTTGTAGTAATTTAGACAAGTGGTACATGGTCTCCTTGGATCCAAAACTTTTTACATAAGCAGTGCACCTGCAGATAAAAAATTTATGTGTGGCAAAAACGTCCAATAACAATCTCAACAACTGCACATGCTTGCCACATGGCACCAAAGAAAATTGTAACAACGCACCTTTCAAATCATTATTCAACAAAATAGCACCCAGTTAGGCACTGACTCAAAGACATTCGCAGAGTACAACACGTACAACACGCAATGCTGCAAACAGTATAGGCGGAAGGCAGTTCAGCGCTTGCCTCTTTTGCCACTCCTGCCTGCCCTTTATTGGCTGGAAACTAATCATTAGAAATTTCAGTTACCTCCTCCAATTAGTGGCTTAATCGATTCAAAACATGCTGTATACTGCTGTAATGAAGAACAAATCATGTGTAAATAACTTTTGATGGCAATGACTAATTGTGTGCCTCCCTCCAGCAGAGACATCACCATAAATTTTTCCATATGGGCAGGAAAGTATAAATTTAAGGGCTTGTTTTCTTTGTCAGACACAACAATAACGAGAACAGACAATAAGTCTAGGGGTTGTTATTGAAAGGAAGTAAATGTGAAGAAAAAAAGTGGACAAGACCATAACTTGCCACCGGCAGGATCCGAACCTGCAACCTTCAAATGCACCCGATGCTCTACCACTGAGCTACGGTGGCGATTATCCCCCATCTACTTTATAGGGTATATATGGCCATTTAAACACGCAAGCGTCAGTCAGCGCCACCTGTTGCCATTATAGTGAGTGTGGAACACTCACTCTTGCTTCTTTGGCATGGCCTAGTACGTGCTGCAGGGCATTTACAGTGAGAGAGACTAGAAGGTAGGGTGCTTCTGAAGAAAATAGTCATTTCAGCGCTTAAGGGAGGCACGCGAAGAAGGGTAGAATTTCCGTGAAACAACTGCCTTCCCAACTGCTCGTCAATCCTGCCCTCTTCACAGCCTCTCCTCCACCCAGCAAAGTGGAAAAAGTATGCCTGGAAGTTTGTTTTAGAGCAAAGCTGTCTTATCTACCTTGTGAAGCCCTTATCATAGTAGTAGTAGGTATTGCACAGATCATGTGACTATGTGATCATGAGGACTATGAATTAGAAAACGAATAAAAGGAAATGATGACTTTTCTAACGAAAGTTGTCATTACAACTACAGAGCTCGACGATATAATAGTTTTGGGACAATAACAAAAACTTGGGAAATGGAACGTGGCATTATTCATGGCATCGAACATCCTGAATTTTTCTTTAAGGCGTGAACAATTCCCACTATTGTGTATCGGACCCAACATCGCACTCACCAGCTTATGTAGAAACCCATGCAAGTAATCCCCCCACTCACAACCATCAGGGCACAAACAAGCACAAAAACACAAGAAAGTGCATGACACAAGCGCTACACTTTCTCATGTTTTTGTGCTTTTATACGCGCTGATTATAATAAGTACATTCCAACTACCTAGCCCGATTTGCTACTTTATATAAGCCATGGCCATCTAACTTAGCAGCTGCTCCATTCGTGGTCTCTGCTATAGAATACGGGCATGCCCATGCAGTATTTTGGCAGCTGCCCTAACTCGCGATGCATTATTTCAGAATGATCTCAAATTACTTGAATTTGCCAAAAACCATGGGTCAACCAACTACTTTAACATCTGTTTCTGCAGTGGTTCAGATTTTATTGCACGAGTCTTCCAATAGAAGCGTACTGAGAAATTGAAATGATGAATAGGTACGACTTGTATATAGATAAAAACTGTTCTACGATTTAGTAATGAAGCTGTTGCTATTTTTCTTGGGCACTTCTCATTTTTTTTTGGTAACCTTTTTACCGCGTAAGTTTGAAAACAGTTAAACGTGGAAAGGTTCTTTTGTGCACTGTTACTAGCTTTTTGCCTTGCACCTGTTTACCGAGCATAATTACCTTAAGATTATTTGTATTACTATTTGATTAAAGTCTTATGCTACGTTACCTCCGACACCCAATACAATTGTACACTGCGCTAAACAAACAGGCAAATTTAAAATATTTATCCTAAAGCATTGGCACCCACCAGCACCAGTTCCCCAAAAGTAGGACAATACCTAGAAGCACGTGTGTGCTGAACGTGCGCGTGGACACGTTCAGCACACACGTGAGTGAGAGTGGGTGCCAAGAGTCGTCGAAGTCTAGGAATTCATGCTGACGCTTTGTGGTGAGTGATGCGAACTCGACATTGCTTTTTTACGAACTTTTTTTCCTTGGGCCGCTTTATGGAACTAGAAATAATTTGCTCCTTGCTTTCCCTCCTTTATTTTACGTTATTAGGCTAACCATTGATGTAATTACTAATGCGTATGGCTGACTCCAGTCTGAGGGCAACTGTCTTTTTCTATGTCTATTTACCAGAGTGTTCTTCTTTTTATTTACTACCCCAACACATCAGCAAAATGGGATACAGCCTTAAAAGCAGCACCTGTCTATTCTTTAGCCGCTTCATGCACTCCAACCGCCCGCGATGTAAACGCTCAACGTAAGAATCGCATAAAATTAGCAAATTAGTCGGAAAACAGGTGCGCGCAACTCATCAGTTTACAGAAAACATCAAAGTAGGAGTGCGACCACCTGAAATTAGCAAAACTAAGACATTACGGACACTTTGAAACCCACAATGTGAATATCGAGCGTGACAGGAAGAAGTTAGGAGAGAACAAACGCATGAGAAGGAGGGTCATTCAAGGCACTAATCCGGCACAAGCTTTTAAGGTCAGAAGTTCGAAAACACACAGGGTGCTTTTTATTTTTAAATAGAGAAGTTAGATTTTCAGACAACTAGAAAAAAAAAAGTGAGGCGAGCTACGAGCCAGGTGAAATTGGGAGCTATAGGCGGTTAGGTGGTTTTCTACATTGCTAATAAACTGCAACAGACTATCTACTTAAAGATAGCGCAATAACCAAGCATGCCATGAAAAAATTCGGTTCAAATAGATATGTCGAACCATTCCGAATTGTATAGCTACTTAAAGTGTGTGAGAAAGAAATCGCTAAAAAAAGAAAAAAAAAGAAGTCTGGGGTGGCGCCTCATTGGCGACCATCTGCTGGTAATGCACTTCCTCACCAGAGCAGGATTGGCCGCCCTGGTGCAGTAGCTGGCCACAACTTCCCATGAACATGGCAATTAACCCTTGGCCCTCAATCCACAGCAGCTGTGAAGCAACTGTCCAAGGCGGTGGTCAGACCTGTGATGAGGCGGAGGGTGCTAAGAATCCCTGGGTATGGACAGGCGGCCATTGGAATCTGAACCTGGCTACCTTCAACACTAGAACGCTATTTAGTGAAGCTAGTCTAGCTGCGCTATTCGAAGAATTAGAAGGTGTTAAATGGGATGTAATAGGTCCCAGCGAAGTTAGGAAGACACGTAAGGCTTATACAGAGCTGAAGAATGAACGGTCCTATGCTACTGTGGATTAGTTGACAGAAAAGAACTGGGAGTGGGGTTTCTCATACACAAGAATATCACTGGCAACATAGAAGAATACTATAGCATCAGTGAGAGAGTGGCAAGTATCCGAATTAAGTTCAACAAAAGGTACAAGATGAAGATGGTACAGGCCTACGCGCCTATATCGAGCCATGATGATAATTTGGTTGAACGCTTTTATGAAGACATAGAGTCAGCCATTAATAAAGACACAGTATACTATTCTTATGGGTGATTTTAATGCCAAAGTAGGCAAGAAACAGGCCGGAGACCATGTAGTGGGGGAATATGGCATCGGCTCTAGAAATGCCAGAGGGGAGTTATTATTAGAGTTTGCAGAACGCAACAATTTACGAATTATGAATACCTTCTTCAGAAAATGGGCTAACTGTAAGTGGATGTGGCGAAGTCCTAATCGCGAAAATAAAAATGAAATTGAATTCATTCTGTGTGTACACTCCGACATTGTACAGGATGTAGAAGTAGTTTGCAAGATTAGATTCAGTGACCATAAAACGGTAAGAGCTCGTATACACCTAGATTTAAAAAAGCAAAGAAAAAAACTGATACGCAAGAAGCCAAATAATGAACTGGGGGTGAGACACGAAGGGGAGACAGAGAGTTAAGTAGGCCGATGAGATTAAAAAGTTAGCGGGTATAACGTGGCAACGACTGATTGATATGTGGGGTTTAACGTCCCAAAACCACAATATGATTATGAGAGACGCTGTAGTGGAGGGTTCTGGAAATTCCGACCACCTGGGGTTCTCTAACGTGCACCCAAATCTGAGCACACGAGCCTACAACATTTCCGCCTCCATCGTAAATGCAGCCGCCGCAGCCGGGATACGAACCTGCGACCTGCAGGTCAGCAGCCGAGTACCTTAGTCACTAGACCACCACGGCGGGGAACGTGGCAATGAAAAGCACAAGACCTGGTTGATCGGCGGATCATGGGAAAGGCCTTTGCCCTGCAGTGGGCGTAGTCAGGCTGATGATGATGTTTTATGAACCGGGTTACAAAAAGCCAAGTACAAACTCACCGCAGCGATGTTTTATTAACATTAAAAAGAATTCTCAAACAAGTGCTGAAAAACCAGCGACACGCTTTTTGCAGCCACGTCCACAAAGGCTTTTGCAGCAACCCAAAGCTGTAAATTCCTATGGATTGACACAAGAAGTAAGCTAGAATTTTAAATGTGCTCACTCTAGTGCAACATTTCACATGTGTTTCAAACATAACATCAACGCAGCATTCATTAGTGATGGACTCTTCACACAATCTCCATTTCCATCACACAACCTGTAAGTGCAAAAAAGAAATAAATATGCCCGAAACATTTTAATCGTAACATCTCTTTATTCAATGCATCCATGTTATGTAACCACAGTATAATATTAACACAATACATGCAGCAGAGCTCTTGTTGGAGTTAGTACTAGGTCAGACATAGTGGTATAGTTACTAAGGTGCAAAAATAAAGTGAGATGAAACACTAATAGAACAGGCACCAACTACCAATTTTTAGTCCTTCTGGAATGTGAGCATCTAACCCTAAAATACTTGTGAAAGAAGCATAGAAACAGAGTGGCAAGGTTTGTCCTATCAGTACTTAAGAAATGACAGTTGCACCAATAGGAAAAACGAGCTAGGATGGGAATTATTCTCATCTTTTTGAAGGAAACTGATTAAAGCTCCTGTATCAAAGATTTCATGGTAAAACCAGTATTCAAAAAGAAATGTACCTCCACAGTCCTAGTTATGTCTTTTTGTACAATGATCACTGTTAAGGTTTCAGAGTACCTTAACAGATCAAATTTGTATGCTAATTCATTCTTTGTTCGTTCCATCAGCAAATGAAATTGTTTGTCAAGAGAACAAAGTGTGCTGTATTAATGCAGATTTATTTTTCTTGACATTGTAACTTGCCTGCTGCAGCGCCTTCGAGCTAAGTAGGGTAATAATTGAATAAAGAATAAATACAGAATAACACCATCAGCAGAAACAGACACTGTCAACCTGCACACTGTCAGCAAAAGTAAGTGCACCTATCAGTCAAGTCGCCAAATTTGCTAAGAAATGCTGCGAATTTAGAACAAGATCCGTATTGAAACAAAGGACAGGTAGTCATGCACACATTGCCAAGCCCTCAAAATCATATGATTATGGCCACTAATGCGTTTGTCAAGAGATAAAAAATTGAGGGGACCCTTCAGTTTCTCCATTAAGAGTTGACCTCGATAGCCATACCCTGTCCCTAGTGCATACTTCAACCACTTGGTGCGTACTTTTTGTTATATTACCTAACTCGGGAAAATTAAATTGTGGATTACTACAATTTAATCAATAAAAGTTGAATGTGGCTTGTCAGTGAAACTTTTGTGTATGGCTGCATTCTGTGTAATGGGTAGCATGCTTTACACTGAAGGCAAATAATTTACTTCAGAGTGAAAGATCAGTGTTGGGTATGTCTAGAACATCAATTCAACAGCAGTGCTCTAGTAATAGAAAAATTAGGGTAAACGTACGACACCACATGCGCCACGCCACGAGAGCGACATTTTTTAAATAATCCCAATGATGCGAGAGCGTCTTACTACAATTAAACACTGGTAATCAAATGAGCAGCATTAAAAAAGAACCTTGTGTACATTACAACACGAAATAAAAATGCTGCTCATCTGTTTATGTTCGATTCATAGATAAAGAACTGCCTGGTGTCACTACGGGGAATGACGCGAGTGGTTCAAAAGTTTTGTTTTCACCGGTTAGGCTGAGTAGGTGGTGCCATCTAGTGGAGTTCAGTTGAACCAAGCAAGCAGAAAATTGTTCAGTGGTCGTTATTGCTGCTGTAGCTCCCGCTACTTTCGCTCTGCTGCCAACAGTGTCGGTGGTTGCACAGTAAAGGCGGGCAACCTTGGGAACGGCAACAGTGACCTCAGAAAGACCCGCTTTCAGAAGGGCGATTCGAAGTGCGCTAATGCGATGCGGACCACTGAAATGCGATTTCATTTCGAAATAAGCACTTCCTTGGCACAAAAGTGCCAAGGAAGTGCTTATTTAAAAACACTACGAGGTTTCTGAACCGCTCATTCAACAATCAACGTCGGCTTAATATTTACCTTTGGTGTTCGTTTAAACCCCGAGCAATTATGCGTGTGAAACGTTTTCGAACTTGCTATGCACCCACTACGTGGTCTTAAATAAACTGTAATGTGTGTGCCTTTTGCAATTGGTGGCAGACTTTAAATCATGAATTCGTTATGATAAGCACATGTTCCGACGCTTGATTGCAATGGACGCTTGTACAACGCAATGTTACTGCAATATTTCATGTAGTATTACGAAGCATGTATACGAGACGCGTGTGTTTGTAAAGTGTGAAAGTTGCTTGCACTGCATTTCCAATCAAAGTAAGTTATTTTCACTATATTCACAAGCAGATGCTTGGCTGTATGGTAGAACACCTGCTAGCCATGCAAACTGCCCGAGTTCAATTCTGATTCGAACCACGAAATTTTATTACTTACTTTATTTGTGTCTTTCTCGATTGTTCAGTCACACCCAAGATGATTTTTCGCTCACAACAAACGTTGCCCACGCCTACAGTGACCGCAAAGTTTCCGTGAAATGTGTTTTTCAATGCTTTTACGTTAAAACAAGTCTCACGTTATGAATGCCGAAAACCTCCCATGTGACACTAGACTCTAGGAATCAAATTGGCCTTCACGATAAAAAATTGTCAACACAAAAATAAAAAAAAGGTTTAAAAAGAACGGTGGAAAAGTGATGAAAACTGAAAACTTAGTAGATAGCAATTTCATTGGAAATGTCCTTTTGGTTCAATGTAAGTTTGTATCTTGTTTAGCATTGTTAGTGCACAGGCTCTCTACAGCTATTGTGTTCACCGATGATGATGCACATGCTGCTGCGATCGTGTGCTTCATGATGTGCGATTGTGATTTATACAATCTTGTGCTAGCAAGCGGAGAAATCAGTTTGCAATTGGCAGCTATAAAGACTACGTACGTTTCGTCTCAGCATTTTTTGGCACGTTAATCTCTATACCGATACTCTACACAATCTCTCATTATTATGACCCAGTTTACAATGACAAGCATCATGGTTAGAAATGACTTCTGTAAATACAATGGGCCTATAAGGTACGCCTATTCTATAAGGTACACTTCTTATGCCTCTTCTGGCTACGATTCATGTTACACTTAGGGCCAGAATGGCCTTTTATTAACGAAACAACCCCATTCGAAAAGGGGTACAAAAATGCAAGTATCTGTACAAAGATCCAGTGGGCCATGCAACTTGAAGCCACATAACACCCATTTTACTCTATGGAACAGCAGCAGAAGCAGCATTCGCCACACTGTTGATCTGTTCCGGGCTGCAGATATCTTCGAGGAAAAGCTTGGCGAGGTTGCTGAGCCTCGTGTTCGGAGATTCTGAATATCGCACCATGCAGTCGATCACAGATGCTGTTGTGATATCTGTGCCAAGAAAAATTAATTACAATGGTATGAAGCCTCCGCTTCATGAAACATATCATCAAAAGTTGTGCGGAGTACAATCCACTTACGTAGGCAGTGTTAGTAAGGTGTCGGCACAGAACTCCCACAGCAACAGTGAGTTCAGGGTGTGCAAACATGCCATAAATTAGGTGGCTTCTAGTATTACGAGCAAAGAAAAGGTTATAACTAGGGCTCCATGTTTTTGGAGTTTATTTTTCTTGAAATTTAGCTGGTGTTTGTTGGTGTTCTTTTTCAGTATACCTCCACACCTCTTAAATCAGTGCTTAACTCTGCAGAAGAAATTGTTGCAATGTCTTTGTATTTTTTTTATTTCCAATGAAATGTGTTGCATTGTTGCTGATAATCCTGTTTTTCCCTCATTTAATGTTTTTTTTTTTTTCTCATTTTCAGCTGCTTTACCCAGCCACAGGGCTGTTTATGTGCACATAAACTCGCCAAAGTGTACTTTCACAGGAGCAGCAGCTAGTTAGGCTCCTTCTCAGATTTTTCTATCAGCCTCCCTCATCGTCTTGATAAAAAATAATGATCTATTATCATTATTATTCTCAATACTACAAAACCTTAGAAGAAATGATATCTGAACACGAAAACTTGTGAACACACAAAGTGCATTTTAGATGTCTGAAAAACTTAAACACGCAAGCACAAGCACATACAAGCACAAATACATGAATAAAAAACACCCACGGTTTGTCTGTATTTCAACCTAAAGCATGCGGTAATGGACGGAATCATACTTTACGAGGTTGCTGACCATGATGGAGGTGCACCCCTTTTGGTTGACGATAGTCAGCTTTCAAAATGGCCATTTGAAATTAGAGCTTGTTGCATGAATCCAAATTGTCCAAAAGTTTACTTGTGAGCATTTATCAGATTTTTTTTCTCATTCATCCAAAAACACTGAGCCCCAGCAAACGATGGCACAAACCTGACTGGCAACCGGACAGTCCCAGAGAAATAAGCGTTGTTATTGCAGACAACACTGTCTCTTCCTGCGATGTTGATAGGCAGCTGATCAGCTTGTTGAGGTTGTCGGGCTTTAGGACCTCTGTACGGAAGTCCTGGTCTGTAATGACCAATGCTATACGAGATCAGAAAAGCCCCTAGGGGTGGTCACAAACAGTAAAAAAAGATGCCTTCCTAGCAATATATCGTATATTTAAGATAGACAACTGCTACTTGGTTCAAAAAGAGAAATAGCTGTGTCATGTGTCGTTGGTCTACTTCATTCACCGCTGAACTTGTTCTTAGCTGATGAGGTACAATTACCATAGATACGATTCAGTTCTATCAATTTATGTAAGAGCACAGAGTGACACCGATATTATGTTGAGGAAGATGTTGAGATATTATGTTGAGGCACTCGGAAACACACACGAATTTCTATGCAGCAGTGGGCAGTGAATGTAGGGGAAAGGTGGTGATAACCATCCCCTACATTGGAAGCAGTTCGGTTACAAACCCATGTTTGCAATGCCACAACGTGAGAAAGAATTGTTAGATGATTGATTGATTTGTGGGGTTTAACGTCCCAAAAGAGAAAGAATCGAAGCACATGTGGAAACTTGGCCTTGAAAAATGTGTTAGCACTCCTTCTGCGTTGTCAACCAAGAAGGAGAGCGATTTGCTTGGAAAAGTGATGGTTTTCATTGATAAGATGGGAGCAGTGGTTTTTTAACAGTGCTTTCGCACACGTCCTGTACGGAGTTAGAAAATGGCGTTTTTTTTTATTTTTCCGATATTAAATGTCAATTATTAGTAGCCAGCCCCAAGTCATTGTTTGTTTCTGCCTTTCAGTACTTCCCGTGGCCACGTTTCAGTGTCTTTCTTTTAGCGTAGTCAGTAAGGTGGTGACAGCAGCGAAGTGGGGAATTTGCGTTTCGCGTCACTTCGGAAAACAGTAGGGTTGACAGGCGGGCTAGTTGGTACAAATTCATAATGGAATAATTGGAAGCGCTAACCAACGGGACACAAGAGAAGAGACAACCGTTTGCCTCTTCTCTTGTGTCCCGTTGGTTTGCGCTTCCAATTATTCCATTACGACTTCGAAAAACGCCTAACTGCAATCACGCCTGCACTTGCATAATACTACAGAAGAACGGCGGTAAGGAGGCTCACCCGAAGTGAGGTTGCAGATGCCGCCAATGGCAAACTCTCTCAGGTTATCATTGGCACTGTCCAACTGATCTGCACAAACAAAGAACGCGGTAAAGATGCATTCACACAGAATGGGCGTCGAAAACGTACCCATAAATAAGCTGACAATGTTCAGGCGTTTGAGATGGTCGTAGTTGATCGGGTCGTAGGCAAAGTTAGCCAAGTTGGCCAGAACCTGCTCTTTCGCCTCTGAAACGAAACATCCGAGCTGTCAGAACGGTTTCAGTTTCTCTCGAATGTGGAACGTGCGAACGGGAAGGTGCTTACCGTTGGAGCAGCTAGTGTTAAACTCTGTCACCAACTCCTTGAGGTACCTGAACCGTTCTTTAGGGTCGTACCGGGTCATTGTGTACGCGAGCTGACCGCAAGAAACGTGTCAACGTCGAAAGCCTACGCGACTGACAGATGCTCAAACTGCTGCGCGTCAGGCGCCATTTACAACTGCCTCGGGGGAAGTAGTGAAGTTCGCGGTTATACGTAAAGGCGGCGCCACATGTTAAAGCCGACCTTTTAGGAATGGTACGCTACGCTACCGACGGATGGCGGCACCGACTTAAAGAGAAAACAGCTGTTTATAAAATAGTGGTAAACACATCGGAAGATTTTCTTGAGTTATCGGTGATCCAGGCGTGCTACAGGTTTCAGCCCGAGATTGATCTCATGTTTAGGGGAAATCGCGTTGCGTGCAAATTGCGCGCCGTTGTAAGCCGAGTTCTCGTCGCGAGCCGGCGATGTGAGTTTTCGCACGAGATCGAAAAACATGTGTTTTGATCCTGACTGCTGAGAAAAAAATGGCGGACAAATCGCAACCTCAAGGGCAGCCGCTCGTCAAAATAGGACACTATATCTTGGGAGAAACGCTCGGCGTCGGCACGTTTGGCAAGGTTAAAAGTGAGTGCATCTTTCAGTACGGCTTGCGTTGCGGTGGCGATCGTTTGTGCCTCCGCATCAACTTGGTCCGTGCGCTGCGTAGTGCACTGGCTCGTCCGCGGAAAATTACCGAGTGCGGGAGAATGCAGCAAGCTCGAAATGCACGTCGACAACAAGCTTTCTGAACCGTTGTACTTTTCGCCGGTTCAGTTTCCCGAAAATATGCACTGGTGATCTTTACTGTTTGCTCCAATAAAAACAGTCATGTCCGGCGTTCGAAATATTAGAAACTTGACACGGATGGCACCTAATTGCTACTCTTAAACGTCCCAATATATTTGTTTATTAAGCCCATTGATATTTGTTTATTAAGCCCATTGTTAGCTTGGGGACGGCGGGTTCGATTTGCGAGACAGGTTGGCGAAGTCAGTGATGGTCCCCGAATGATTTTCCTCCTGCTGTTGTCGGCTTTCTTGATAACACTGTGCATGGTGAAATGGCGTGCCTGGTGAAACAGCCGCATTATTTCTTTTGTCCCTACAGCGGCATGTCACCAGTTGACCGGTCACAAAGTGGCTGTGAAAATTCTCAACCGACAGAAGATCAAGAATCTCGATGTCGTTGGAAAGATCAGACGTGAAATACAAAACCTCAAGCTCTTTAGGCACCCACACATCATAAAGTTGTAAGTGATGCTTGATCGTGGAGGCAAATGAGCCATGTATATATCCCACGCTGCGTGGAGGTGTGTATATTTATCGCCTCTTGTTTCTTAGGTATCAAGTTATCAGTACCCCTACTGACATCTTCATGATCATGGAATATGTGTCTGGAGGTGAACTTTTTGATTACATTGTCAAACATGGAAAGGTAAGGAACGACGAGTGCAAGTGGGCATCTGAAACCAATTCAATTGAATAGCTCATTACATAACTTAACAGTCTCATCAATTCAAAATACAAGGAATGACGGTCAGTAAAGATGTGTTTATGTGTGATGATCTGTACAAGAAGGCTGCGTAAGTTCAATTGAAGTATGGCATGTATTTCTATATCTTCAGTGTATCATAGCATATATGACAGAGATCACAACAAAAACAAGCCATCATCTTGAAGCAGATTTCCAGGTGTTTCCTAAAGTTGTAGGCAATCAGCCTCTGTACTTAGGTATAACCAAGGCATAAGCTGAGCTTTGCTTCACAAATTTTTGTTTTGAACGAGCACTACAATGTGCAGATATCAGCACTTGTCTCTGCGTGAAAATGTATCATCACAGGATTGTCACATTGTTTTTTCCTATAGAGATATATATTTCTTCTAAATAAACAATTTGTTTGCCAGAAAATTATGCATGATCGCTTTACATAACTGTGGCATTGTAAAGATAACTGAAATCAAATCAGTGATTTGTGGTGTGATATAAAAAAACTGTTTCCTATCCATGTTGATGCACTTCGCTTTGTATTCAAACAAAGTAGTTTGCATGCAATGCAAGTGAAGTACGTGCACAAAGTTGGTTTAAGACACACTGAACTGACTCATTGTCATCATAGCTGTACGTTTTAAGTTGTGCTAATGCATCAATTCTGTTTCAGCTCAAAGAGTCAGATGCACGTCGGTTCTTCCAACAAATAATCTCAGGCGTGGCATACTGTCACCGTCACATGGTCGTGCACCGTGACTTGAAGCCTGAAAACCTTCTCCTCGACCAAAATCTCAATGTCAAGATAGCAGATTTTGGTGAGTCTCGCTCATGCTCCAAAGCGGCGTAATGCAGTACCGAATTTTCTGCATGAAACTATTCTGCACTGAAAGCTTTTGTCAATGCTCGCATTTGGGGTGCTTCGTACATCGACTGACACCTTGTATTCCCACCATCTCAAGGGCTCTCCAACATGATGATGGACGGTGAATTTCTGAGAACAAGCTGTGGATCCCCAAATTACGCTGCACCTGAAGTTATATCTGGAAAGTATGTCATTTGTTCTAAGCATTCAGTGCACACTCTTAAAATCTGAATCTTGTGTTTTCATTCATAATGCACATTGGTAACCAGATGCACACTTCATGCTAAGTATTTTCAATTAGAATAGAGCTTTGTTATTATGTGCTACTGTAACTGTTGACTAAACCTAATAAACTGTTATCAGGTGAATGACAATAAGTTTAAGCCATACAGCATTTCACGCCATTGTTGCATCCATGTTGGGCCGGTGTTACGTCACACTTTCTGTTGCAGGCTCTATGCAGGGCCCGAAGTTGACATTTGGAGCTGTGGTGTCATACTCTATGCTCTTCTCTGTGGAACGGTAGGTATTTTAGCCTTGGTGTGTCATGCAATTGTCACTCTCCAAAGTCCTCTATCTGTAGTCTAAACACCACTCACTTTTGTCAGTGGTCACAAAGCACCTTTTTATTAGCAAAGGGAGGGACGAAGGATGAATGAACTAACTAATATATGCCTTTTACCAAAAATTGAGCCTCTTATTTTAAAAGTGCAATTTTCATTGTGCCTTTTTTTTTTTTGTGGATATTAATTGAGCTTGACATTCATGGTCCAAGATGATGTTTTGTACTGTCACAAAAGATTTGCAAACTGATTTGTTTCACCTTTTACACATAAGCCAAAGAAAGCATGAGCTATAGATGTAGCAAAAGACAATGGACGGCAGTAGTCTGGTGTGGTGAGTGAACTGTACTATCTCGTATTTTGACTTACATACATGAAGAGAGAATCATAACGTTGGGTAAGCCAGGCAATGCATAGGACAGATAATTGATAGTACATTGCAATTAGAATGCTTCTCAGTGGAATGGAAGGACGGTCAAGAATGGCAGGAAACTATGCGGTTTGATGAGATAAGAAAGTCTCCAGCCATAGCTTTGTTACCTTGTGCGAGACAAGGCAAGTCGAGATTAATCCTGTGGTGGAAATGTAATATGATGACAATAATGAGCACATTTATCAAGCCACTTTCTGTTAGTATAGTTTGGAAGAATATAAAAAAATCAATTTGTATTGAAATCAGCTACTGTGCATTTCTTTGTATTCTTGCCTGTTCTAAGAAACCTGGGCCAAATATTCTATGCTTTGTTTATAATGTTTATGGTTCACACTCACCTTGTGATTGTATCATTGCTTTGCAGCTTCCATTCGATGATGAGCATGTCCCAACATTGTTCCGCAAAATCAAATGTAAGTTCTCAATCTCTTTAATTAGCTTCTTGTCATTGTCATACTAATGTTCAGGTCTGGGAAATGTGATATGTTAAAACTGCACATATGAGCAAAGACAAATGCCATCATAAATTTTTTTAGGCTATTGATGATGTACAAAAATATTTGATTATTTCATTCTAATGCATCAGCTGGATTATGCAAGGAGCACATTTACTTGTGCGGGACATTGTAGCACTTAGCTAGAGTTTCACTAATCCTTTCTTTACTATGACGGACATAACTGTTTGGCAATAAGTGACGTCTTTCATTTAGGAAGTCATGCATTTAGTACAAGAAAATCTTAAACTACTACACTCAGACCTCATAACAAAGTCACATCTTCCGCGAAAATACTTTGTCATATCGAGAAATTTTTTATAAATGTATATTTGTAACACTGTATCTATGACAAAAATATTCCTCACTTCATTATAACTAATAATTTGTTATATCGAGGTTTCAGGGTATTGCTAGTTCTGGGATGCCTAGATTTTTTTGCTTATTTATTTTTGCTGTAATGCATACCGGCACCAACAAAACTAATAATATAATTTAAAAGGTGTCGCTGCTGAGCTGGTTCAACAGTGGAAAAGTTGGAAATCGTCGAGAGGCCCTCGCAGCTAAGCGCTGAAGTTTGTGATTGAATCACACAGGCATATGTCGCACCTTACCAAATTCACTGTGTCTAAGATGTCCTGGCACAGTACAAATGAAAAGCTAGAGCGTGAGGCCCGGACGCTCGTCGCAATAACTGCTGCTGCGTAAAATTTTTTTTTTTCGAGAGCGCTCGTTAGTGGCACTTATGTGCTTTAAAAACATCTATTACAAGTCACATCATATTTCATCATATCTTCATAATAAGTGTATGTTTGTCATGCACTGACATTAGCAAGAACAATTCTAAATTTATTTGATTATATCCATTAGTTTGTTGTGTTGAGGTCTGGCTAAACACTTGGTTGTGTCTTTTAGTAATGTTTTTTACTTATTTTCTACCGTTGATTTGATATTAAGCATGCATCAACTTGCTTAGGCCACTATTTTCTTTAATAACAGGGATTGCTGCTTATTCTGCATTATGCTTGAAAGTAAAAGACGGCATCTGCATTCCAATATTAGATGTCTTTCATTTGATCCACAGAAGCTCTATTGCTCTTAACGGACTTTTAACAGCAGGAACATCCATGGTCTTTAGCAGGGCCATAAATATCTATTAGGTATCTCTTGAGAAGCACGGATTGCTGCGAGAGTTGGTAATTCATCTTAACTGTGCTCGCGAAAAAATTTGAAGTACAAAAGGGACACCTGAACGTGTGCGCTGTGCCCAGGTGTCTCCCTTTTGTACTTCATATTTTCTCGCGCACTCAGTTAAGATAGGTATCTCTGATGCCTCTTCAGTTCCGTAGCGTTATTCGTTTACATTGGTGACCTGACTGCTGCGCATATCTGCAGCTGGCATCTTCCCTATTCCGGATTACCTCAACAAATCGGTTGTCAGCCTCCTTATCCATTGCCTGCAAGTGGATCCTATGAAGCGAGCAACCATGGAGGACATCAAGTGAGGCTTGCTTGCATGCCAGTATTAGTTGAATTAAGACTTGGCACTAGTGATTGTTAGCAGCGCATTGTTTTGGAAACAGCTCCTTGCAAGTTTTCAATTATTTTTTTTTGTGTCAAAAACATGCAAGATTCATAATAACATTAATAATATACATGCCTGATAAGACGTGGTCTTGGTTTTGTAACATACTTATTCAACATCATAAAAACACCTCTGTAACTTTTAGGAGCTTAAATGAGTAAACTCTGCAGATCTTGGACACATTCCTTTGCCAGTGCTTATTCTTGATGTATAATTTCTACCGACTCATTGCTACATTGAAAAGCAGCAGGACACGTGTGCTGATGTGTGTGTGCACATTTGCTCTAGTCGTGACACCATTTCACTTTCAGTAAAATGCAGTGTGTGTGACATCTGAAGATGAACATGTATTGTTTTGAAATGAGAGCGCACTACTTAGACGCGGACGCTTGTCTACGTCTTGTCCCTGTGTTTCTGTCCGTGTCTAAGTGGTGCGCTCTCATTTCAAAACAGTCATGTATCACGAACTCGCCCAATCAACCATGTGAACGTTTAGTCTGAAAAATGGTGCACCGAAAGATCTTTACTCGTTTGAAGCAACATGCGTTCTTTTGTATACTAGTAATTTACTTTCCTCTGTATGCACAATGGTTCATGGGCCCAAACTTTAGATACAGATCGAAAACCTCGTATTATTCTCATTCCAGCTTCCCCCACAAATCATAAGAACTGTTGCATGCCTGCTCTTTGCCTGTTCAAAAACAAAAAACGTTTGATACGTTTGTCAACTTCACTTGACTTTTTTCTTCCAAGATTGATGTCAATTTACACATTTGATCACTTGTTGTCTCTGTTTTGTCACTGGAACTAGAACAGGTGGTGATAAGTGCTATGCACAAGTTTCGAGGCCTTCATTTTTTACAGATTTCCTTTTTTTTTTTTCCAGAAACCATGATTGGTTCAAGAAGGATTTGCCTGCCTACCTTTTCCCACTACCCAATGACAATGATGCTTCTATAATTGACATGGATGCTGTGAAGGTTGTTTGTGAGGTAAGAGAGAGAAATAACCGTTTATTTAGAAACAGTGTTCCGAGCAAGGCCCGGTGTCACCCTAAGGTGGGAGGGTTCCCTAGTCCAGGAACCCTCCGGCTTCGACTGCCCTCTTGGCCCTGGCGACGAGTTGTCGCTAGTCTTCCAGGTCCTCGAGGACGAGCTTGGCCTCCCACGTTTTCATTAGGTGGTCGTTGTTTATTCTTGGGGCTTGGTCCCGCTCCAGTTGCACGTCGTGGTTTGCATGGCACTGGCATTCCAGGAGCAAGTGTGCCAGGGTGTCTGGTACGCTGCAGAGCGAGCACATGTAGCCATGTGTCGTAGGGTAGAGGCGGTCCATTAATATGCCATGTATGTAAGTGTTAGGGGTCTGAAAATTACCCTCTCTTCTTTAGTTAGTCTTGAATGGGGTGGAGGGTACACCCGTCACTCCAGTTTGTAGTGTTGAAGTAGATTTTTTTTTTTCGTCCTGATCATGTGACATCTCATTAAATTCTCAGTGCCTCGGGTTCTTCTTTGGTTATCTTGTTTTCTTGCCCTGGTTCTGGCTGCCCTTGGCAGTTAATGTAGTTATTTGCCAAGCCATTTTTATGTTACATGTGGGCCTGAGAGTAAAGACCACGATCAATGGCTATGATGTCCTCCTAAAAAGCGTAGGGTCTACAGTTCTGCTTCCAGCCGCAATGGCTGTGTTTTTGCAGCAAGCTTTCACTCCAAGATTTTTGTGTGTGTTAAAAGGCCTTCAGTGGTCAAGACTAGTCCAGAGCTTTCAACTAAAACCACTCACATATTCAATGAGCGACTTTAGTATGCATGTCATAAGAGAAGAAATGCAAGGGTCTATGGAGGCAACAGAAGGTATCAAAATGGCACCTCATGAAAAAGGAGCGGAAGGCTCTGAAAGCAAGCCACGTGGGCTCGTCTGGTGACAGGCTAGTGCTCTAGTTGCTAAACAAAGGACATACCTGTTGTTTTTTTCAGCAATTAAAAGATTATTCTGAAATGCAGTGGGCTTGACATTATGGGAAGCCCTTTTTATGCTTTCTCTTCTCACTTAAGGATGTATTTTAAAGGCATGTATCAATGTGTAAAATGTCTCAAATGACAGAACAGAAGAAAGAAACTAATGTATGTGCTGTATATCGGTGCTAACATAAGCTCCTGGGAAGTGCAATGCACACATAAAAGAAATAAACTTTATATCCAGTGTAGAAAAGTGTTGTCTGGAAATACTAGTTGGAATGTGCGTTTCAGCTTCTCTCACTGCCCGTGGTAATGTTGTCTATGTTTGTCATAAGACGAGTGCGATAGATTTTTGTGTGTTTGCTGTTCCCATTGTTACGAGTTCGTGTTTCTCCATTCCACGATGACACTGTGCGAGCGCAGAAGTTTGGCGTGCAAGAGAAAGAGCTGCACAGTGCGCTGCTGAGTGGCAACCCACACGACCAGTTGGCCATTGCTTACAACCTGGTGGTGGACAACAAACGCATCGAGGACGAGACGGCCAAGCTGGAGATCAAGGACTTCTACTTGGCTTCCAGCCCACCGCCCACGGCAGCCCTGCTTGATGTGAGTTGCCTTCTGGGAGCCCCTGAAATGCGTCTTAAAAACCATATGGTCGACGCAACCTTTTTCCCCCCGCCAAAGATGCTGGTGGCATCAAAATTCTTGCTTTCGAGGCTGTTTTGGAGCAGCTTGACGTATTAAAGCAGTATTGTATCAAAAATGCACCATATGCACAGCTGTCACACCCTCGTAAATGAGAATGCAGGCACAGCTCTGTGTTTATGCACTACTACTTTGAAATGTAGTCAATGGAACAGCACTAGATCACAAGTAAGAACATCATGAAAGAAGGTGACAAACTGTACCTATATAATATATAATAAAGTTGATGTTTCAGCTCTGACATAGGAAGGTTAGTTAAAAGTGTATAGTTTAGGCCGGCAATATTCCTGCGCTCAAATGTATTTTACTCATTGTTTTTTGTTTTTATATGCCCATTTTAATATCATTTTATGATATTATGCTCTTCACAGTATAGTGGTCATTGAGGTCAACTTACTTCAATGAAAGTGCTGCCTTCAGTGTATGTTTAAAGGACCTGTACTCTTTCGGTCTAGTCTAACGTTACACTTGCTTGGCCCTCACAAATATTTTGTGCATCGCAGCATACAGTTTCTTAAAATTAACTAGAAGGAACTCTGGTGCTGTGATCATTCAGCGACCATGGAAATTATGGCATGGCATGGATTTGCCTAGTCTTCGTATTTGCGGGCGGCAAATCGCACTTGTGGCTTCGTTTATTGCTGTGTTTTGGTTTTGTTTCGAATGAAAGAACAAACCGCTTTGAACTTTGTTAGTTGATTTTATCGTGATCCTAAAAGGTGAAGGTGTTAAAGTGTAACTGCCGAACATTTGCCGATTGTTGTTTCGTAACAAATAGCTTTAAGCCACGCGAATCCAGAAGGAACGTAAAGTATGAAGACTACGCAAATCCATGTACTACCATTAATTCGCATTCTCACTGGAGCGTTGTGTGTTGCAGCTCCCATAGACACTATTGCCAAAGTTTCCTCCAGTGTATATTTAGGAAACTCTATGCATTGTAGTACTACCCCATAAATACTTCATCCCCTCACCAATGATGTTAACGTCCCTGTCTCACCAATTATGCTCGAAATCGATTCACTTTTGAACATCTGTCACACTCATAACGAACACCAACAGTTTAAAGGCTAGTGTAAAGCATGCCTTTTGTGAGCGCTCTTGGTTCATTTTGTTTTCGCTTTTTTATCCCACTACTTTCTGCAATGCCCTTGAACCTTGAAGTATCTGAAGTAAATCATAATAAATGTCGGTGGGATGTGCTTCTGTGCAGCAAAGCCCACAGAGGCCACATCCAGAGCGGTTGGGGAGTCGACAAAGGATGCTCAGCGGAGGCAATGGAGCGGATCGCAAAGGCACCCCAATGAAGAGGGCAAAGTGGCATCTAGGTGAGTTTAACCTCCTTGGTAATCAGTTATTTTCTCAATTAAGCAATCAAGTGCCAATTGAATTTTCAAGAAAACAAGAGTTGCTCCAATAAGAGTCACACCTTGCTTGTATCTCGTTTCACAGGCATTCGATCACAGAGCAAGCCACATGACATCATGAACGAAGTCTACCGAGCCATGAAGGCTCTCGATTTCGTAAGTCACAGTCTGCTGTTGTGTGTCGGTGACTCGACGTATATTTGTTTGAACAGGTTATCAGAAAGGCAGAAAGTAAGTCGAAATGCTATAAGTTGCAGGATTCTACAGCATGCTTTGTGACATGAATGCAGGAAAATGCCATAAAGCCCTTATATATCACAGCACCCCGGTTACTGCATGCAGCTTGCGTGATTTTCAAATGCTAAAGGGCTTTTCCAACACTAAGAGATATAGTCTCTATAAAGAATGCGGCATACAGTTCTGCAAGCCCCTCATTGAAACTTGGCCATCACAGCGAGAACCTACACCCGTAAGCCTAGTGACGTAACACCTTACATGCGGGGCTATCACGGTGGGTCAACACCACTACAAGGCACTTCGTAAGAAGTGTCAGTGATACCAGACGACAGAAATTTTTTTAAAAGTGAAGCTGTTAAAATGATGTTAAGGTGCTGTAACATTTATGTCGTATTGAGGTTGATAAATATATCACAAAAGAAGGCAATGGTTAACCTAACACTAGGGCTAGGCAATGGCATCAGCGGGAAGACCCGTGAAGCAATGAAAGGCCTACACCAAGACAACGTGCCCATAGATTATGAGGTGCAGATGCTTGGTTTCAGCGCGAGTTTCCATCTCTGGAGTTTGGACCTCCGCCTCATGTCTGTGCAGTTGAACTCAAACCTGTCTGTACTGGGAACAAAGAAACAACCCTGCATCACTTAGCTAAGGCCTAAAAACAACCTAGAAGCAACCAGATTAGTCTTCTGAAACATAGTTTTCCTGCTTCAAAGCTTGAGCAGCTTAGGGCTTAATTCAAGGTACGCCTTTCTTTTTTTTTTTTTTTAACTGCTTCTCATAGGCAGACGCTTATTTTGGAACAAAACTTTAAACACAACTCGACAGGCAGCGTGCTGAAATTGGATCTGATAAACCTAGTCAATCCATAACCCGTGGTGTCCCAACGTCATTGTGGTCTCTCCCTATGCTTTGTCGCATCTACTGTTACTAATAATTAGTTTTTTTATTCTTTGTTTCTTTTTATGCAGGAGTGGAAAGTGGTTAACCCATTTCATGTTCGTGCTCGTCGAAAAAACCCCACTAAAGGGCGCCCGGTAAGAAACGTTTGGCTGCCGTTGGCTCCGTCAGGCTAGAAGTTGACCATACTGTTCTGACTGTAGGTGAAGATGAGCCTGCAGCTGTATCAGGTGGAGTACAAGAGTTTTCTCCTGGATTTTAAGTCCCTTCCTGCCAACGAAGAGGCTGTGCCACAAGACCCAAGTGAGTTCCAGCTCAAAGGGTTTTTGACACATAGTATTTCCAAAATAGAGGAATGTTCACAATTGTTAACAAAGTGCAGAATTCGGAAGAGGAAACCAGCAAAGAAAACGAAAACAGAAAAAAAAAGACAACCAGACAAGGACAAGAGCTGGACTTGCAACTAAATGTTTATTGGAGAAAGCCCACTCACCAACACACTGGAACCACCAGCTCATGCCTAAATACTAAGCGATCTGAGCCATGCCAAAGTTTCTTACCTATCAGTGCAACGATACTAAACGTGTCAATGTGGTATAAGTAACACATTTGCGTGAAACACAAATGTTTCATGGCCCATACACTTGAACAAGCATTTGCTAGTGGTTTGCGTCTGTGGGCAATCTTCAGCAAAACGTTCAGTGGTAGGTCCAGCACTTCTTTTGTTCTGCACTGTATTTATTTTCCGTTGGTTCCTCTTACAAATAGCGGGAACCAACTCGGCCGGCAAGCTAGTACATTATTAAACTATGGAACTGTAGCGAATGGTACTGCTCAACATCTGCAGCACTGTTTCTGCCAAATGTTGCATCTTTCTCATCTAGGCATTTTTTTTTTCCCCCAGGCGTTGCTGAGACAAGCTACAACCAGATCCACAACACGATGGAGTTCTTCGAAATGTGCGCCGCACTCATCACTCAACTGGCACGCTGAGCAGTCTGCCGCTACAAGTTGGAATGCCCACAGTTACAGCCCCCTTCACATTAAATGTCACCCCATTAGTGTCGTGTTGGCTAGATTGGGCTAGTGTGCCATTTTTGCTGGTGGTGCCGACAGTGTGAGAGGTGCAGCTAACATTCAAACTAAATTTCTTTGTGGTGCCAATGTAGGTCTTAACGTGCTCGATTGTCGAGAGCCGTTTTCAAGTGCCATGAAGCACACTTACTTGCCATGCTCAGAATGTCAAGCAGGTCAGTTGAGGCAGATGAGTTATGTGAAATAAGGAAGTTTAGTGTATGGTTGTTGAAGCCCGATACTTGCTCATGCATCTTTTTTTATTTTTTCGAACCTTTTTTTAGGCAAAACATACTATGCAGCACAGAATGTGTGTCACATGTAAATGAGCAGGCTTCTTTTGTGAATAAAGTCCACTATTAAGGAGTGGTGGAACAGTCCCTAGATCTAGCTTTGCAAATCGAGAAGGCAACGCATTCAATGATTGGTTGCTTTGGTGTAACCAGTGTCCGGATCACACTCCCGATTTGCAAAAGTTGGATCCATCTCAGTTCTTATTTTTAATTTACAGCAGTGAAGATACTAGTACATAAACTCAATGCGCTGCGACACGTCCTGATGCAGTAGTCGAAAGGTACTCGCTCATGCATCTGCTTATTTTTCTAACACCTTCCTTTTTCACATCTTTTTAATGTAAGCACCAACTACACTCCTGCAAAAAAGGCAAGGAAGCCTTAAGTGGCACACTAGCCAAATCTAGTATTTCCTAAATCAACCATTCTTGGCAAACTGCTTACCTACAGTCTGCATCAAAAGTTTTGCAGCCGCCGGTGTGCATGAACTATTGTGGAATCATTTCTATTGTAGCCCGTGTTGAATTCTGAACCAAAGCCCCAGAGGTTCTTGAGCAACTATGCTCCTCCCTCCTTGGTCTCCATTCACCACAGATATCTTGCATGAGAGGATATTTTTGGTGGGGTATCGCTCCATCCTTGGAGGCTTTTACATTGGGCAAGATTCACTCATTTGGCAATCAAAGAGTGCATTCACGAGGGAGATTTTGTGCAAAGCTGTGTGGGCTTCGATCTCTAAAACACTGGGCATGTTACAGTAGCCTTGAAATGTTGCTTTGAAACCCTTGACACATACTGTACTTGATCGTGCCATGTTGGACAGGCCGAGAGGAAGAACGTAGGATCATGTGTTTCTTTTGCTTTCCAGTGGTCTACTTAGGGAGAAACTAGCCATCTCTGTATGGACAATGGAATACCTGAATGTTGCAGGCTGCACATTTGAAGCCTCTGCTAGATATGTTTAGATGTAAATTTCACCATGGGTGCTAGGAGTGAAGCTTGCGTGAAGATGGAAAACATCGGTCATTACATCTATGTATCCTTATACATATAGCCACTTCTAGTAGGCACACATTTGTTGGCCTTTAAACCTACTTTTTATGTTATACTTTGTTAACAGTCTATCGTTTTGTTAATAGGGAGTTTCAGCATGTCCGGTATTTCGGTATGCACGAAGGAACCGCGGAGTATCGGGTTAGCAGATGATAGTAGCGACATATTGCTACGCTTCTTCTAACTGTACCGACAGACAAGTCTTCTGTGCTCAAAGTGTGTTCCTGCCGAGAACAGGTTCTTAAAGGCAACCTGTTTAAGATAATGCCGCTGCCAAAAGAAATTTACTCAAACAAATATGAAACATGCTTTGTTATGGCTATGGTGTGATAGCGTTGGAACGCTTTTGCCACCAGAGGGCGTCGCCGCCCCAGCCACGTGTGTTTGCGTATCGATAACCCGGTATTCCGTCAGCCTGCTTAAGTTCGCGGACAAGTTATAACTCTTTGATAGCTAGCGTGTCTGCTATTCTTGCTTTACTGCACTGTACAGCTTACAGTGTGTAGTTTGTGTCAAGCTGTGCCCTTTGGTTTTATGTAGCTCTGTATTTTGTTATGCCTGCATTGATGCAGAGCAAATGATTTTCTGTGTTTGCACAATCCAGTTACATCATGTGCAAGTGTGTAGAGCAGGTTTGATGAGGTATGAAAATGTGTGAAAATATTGCGTATTCGAGACAAATTTTTGAAGGACCACGGCACATATGACATGTTCCTGTAACACTTGGGAGACTTTTTGGTCTTCACTTATTTGATGCATCGACAGTATTGAGCAGTGGCCGTAGAGAATGCGGCGTATTTGCTGTGGCACATCACAATGGTGCATCATAGTTGAAATTATAACAACATCGTTTGTGTGCTCATTTGGGGGAAAAAAAAAAGTCATTACACTGACTTACCCCTCCTCCCCCCCCCCCAAATATTCCAGTGTCTACAATGGCCCACTCATGTAGATCCTAAATGCAACTACGCTTTGCCACATGAATGTGTAAAACAATCTTCCTGAGAGTTGTTTGTTGCAAGGACCGAAATTTTATGTAGAGGAAAAAAAAATGCTGCAAGACTTTTGTATACCTTGGGAATGGTAAAGATGAATCTATTGTTTCTCCTTCTGTAGTCTAAGATGAGTTATACTGTACATACTATATTGACAAATGTGCATATCTGTCAATACAAGAGTGATGCCAACATGTGTGCTTGTGTCTTTATTTTGGCAGAGTTGAAGTAGGCTGCCAATTATTCTAAAATTATAGGTCACTCTACCTGCATTGTGGTGTGAACAGCCTTATTTTGCATTTTTGTTCTCGTAATAAGGCTCAAATATGGCAAGCATGTTCAAATGCTTACCATTAACCCTCTACGTGCCATGGCCCTTTCCTTGTAATCCAACTATGAAGTACAGTATCATTTTTAGGCACCAGTTCCCAACGTATACTTGCTCGTAACACACTTGCTTGTGTTAGCACTACACTGCTGTCCACCTGAAGTGCAGCAAAGCGACAAACCAGCCTGTCTATCACTACTGCCGTAAACAGTACAGCGGACTTTTTTTCACAGTGGTACAGTGCCCCCAGTGGTGAGAGAAGCAAAAACGGTGACTTTCCAGTCAACATGGCATTTTGTAAACTTCTGTGTTCCTTTGCACCCATACCCTCTGAGGCTGCATGTCAGCAGGTTTTAGAGGCCATGCGCCACCAAAAATATTTCAGGGTGACGCCGTCAAAGTATTTACAGTGTACATGCGCTGAAGGTGCCAATGGAAAAAAATGGCCCGAATTTACATGTTGCACTGTAAATGTCGTCGAAAGACTATAGTCTTCCGTCTGGAGAGAGTGAACAAAACGTTTAACGTTTATTTGATGTTCTGCGCAAGAAAATCGGTAAATGGTATTCTGCGGGTGCTGCATTAGAGTGCCTCGAGCACGTGGCGCAGGCGAACGAGCGCATCTAGGCACGTTAGACACAAGTGCCATCTGGCAGTTACCTTCGAAAACAAAGGCATGCAGCAGCCGCGGAGACAGATGCGTGCCAGTCTCGGAGGTGATAAGGTGTAGAACGCAAAGCGATGGGCAGATGCCACCACCGTGACGTCGTAGCAAAGCGTTGGAAACACCTTTCTGAGCATCGCGTTGCACTGTCAGCGCAGCGCGCTAAAACGCTACATTCCTTAAAGTTACTTGTATGTGCCTTTTCTAGTATAAAGGCAGACATGCAAAACTTCAAAGTGTTGTTGTGGTGCCTCAGATATGCACAATAATTGCTTTTGAATTCACAATCGCACAACTACCTTGAGCACAACAACCTTGAGCAATATTGGTGGGCGCTGCGAATGGGGCTGGCCGTTCGATGTCATTTGAGATAACAAGGCGGACAAAGAGACAAATGTACAGACAGACAGACCGAAATTTTTTCGTCAAAGGTTCCCAAGAAAGACTATCGTCTTCAAAAAAAAAAAAAAAACACTGCACGCTATGCGATAACACGCTCCGCCGGTGACTCGAAGTTCGTGTTATGGATGGATGGATGAATGGATGAAAAACTTTTATTGGGGTCCTGAAGGATTCCACCCCCGTTTTATAGGGGTAGAATCGCGGGCCGCTCCCACGTTGGGACGGGGAGGCCCAGCCTCACCGCCGCATCGTGGGCCTTCTGGACAGCCTTGAGTTGTTGTATGAGAACCGGACTCATGAGCATTAAATGAAAGGAGTTCTCAGAAAATTCTTCATTTTTTCTTTTTAAAGAGGGGCACCTCCAGAGCATGTGGTTAAAATCACTGCGATTCTGGCAGTCTGGACAAAGTTCTGAAATATCGGAGTAATGGCTATAGGTTACGAGGCTAGGGTATGTTCCCGCCTGAAGCATGCGAAGAGAGATTGCCTGTGGCCTAGACAACTTTTCGTGTGGCAATGGAAATGACCTACGGCCTAATTGATAATGCTTCGTGATGTCGTTGAAGGTAGTCAAAATGTCCCTAAAATGAAGGCTGCTGGCTGACTCCTCTGTCTGAGAAGCACAAGTCCCGGCGCGGTAAGTGAAGCCTCGCGCCTTGGAGTGGGCTAGCTCGTTGACATTGGGAAGGCCTCCAACCCTTACGAAACCTGATAAGTAGGTGCTTCCTAGCAAGAAAACAAGAAGTACTAGGTCCGAATATATCGACTGGGCTACCCCATGCCGCCCATTCACGGGTGCTATCCCACTACTGCAGGGCGCGGGAGCTTTTGCCTGCTGCGTTTCCGCCCTGGGCCGGTTCACCCCTCCTTAGGCGACCTGGTCACCACCGGGTTCCCCCGGGGCCACCATATCGACGCCCAGCTTAGCGCGGACACCCGATCAACATGAGTCAACATGAGACAGGACTCCCAGTCTCAACCCGTCCGCTAGCACAGGCCTCCAAGTAGCTGGTGGTCTCTTCGTTTTGGCTGCACCGGCTGAACCAGTTCAAAGGGTGCAGCACCTTCGTCCTCGTTTTGCCGGAGCAGCGCGCGCCCTCTGTCGCACCCTCTGCACTGGCTCCCTCGTTTTGTCTAGGTGTAAGCCTAGTTCCTGACGAGTTCTGTACCGGCGTGCACGCACTCCAAAGCAGGTGCAGAGTAGTGCAGCATGGCGGGCGTCCCCCCAAGGCCAGAGCAGACGACGTTGCAAATAGTTGTTCAGGGCGTTCAAAAGGAAGTTAAGGCACTTCACAATCCCGACGGGTCATTTATGACGGACGCCAACGGTTACGTCTATGAGGCATCAGGTAAGTCAGGCTGCATGCATTGCCAAAAAACGTGGTTAGCGGCCAGGAGTCGTAGTCGGTCAGCAAACAGCCTCGTAGCATTGCTTATGCTATGTCGGTATTTTTAATCTTGGTTTTCGCCCTTGCAGACGGCAAGCGCGTTACGTTGCGGTTCATGGCAGGGAATCGTGAAAATGACCCCCCTCCGGCACAACCGCCGACGCCTTCTCCTGCCTGCGACGGCGACGTTGACAGCGATGGGGCTTTAGCCGCATTTCCAGCAGCAGCCGCGTCGGCTGAAGATGTGGAAGAGCTTTGGAGCGCCCGAAAAACAAGGTTCTTCATCGCCAAATACTCGGAAATGAAGGACTTGGTGGGAAAAACCAGGGCACTTCGGTATGTCATCCTATGTCCAAAATTATTTGCAGCTTTTTATTATTCCGTTTCACTCTAGGCAAGCACCAACAAGATAAGGGCGCATGAAGTTCACAATGGCGATGGTTATTGTTGCCTACATTTTACTGCCAGCAATTTACATTTTACTGCCCCCCCCCACTGAAAAAAAATTTTGGCTATGCGCCTGACTGTGACATATACGTTTACATATACACACAAACAGTATGTATAGTCACGCACATATATACACAACGAAGGCATTCGTAATGTTTCATTAAGTCAAGTGATCTTCAAAAACAGCGACGGTGCTTTTGTGTTGGGCATTGCACAACCGCTGTCTTGCCGAAAAGGTGCAGCACCTCCAAGCTCAAGCCATGTTGCAAGTGTAGTGCTGCCTTGAGAATTTGCACTAGAGGGAATTGCATGTTGTTATTCTGAGGCACATCTCTAGCAAGTCTCGCCCTGCAGTCCTTGTGTCTTCACTGTCTGTCCGCATTTCTCTCGCACTGCCACTTTTCAAGATGGTGCAGCTCATTGTTAAAAGAGATATGCTTCTTGACACGTGCTACCCTATCTTTGAACCTAGACTGCGCCGTCGTGTCAGCAAACAAGGTTGCGCAGCTGCATGTTTTACAATGCAAAGACAGGTTAGAATATGGCTGTCTCCTTAGTGAAGCTTTATGATCCAAAAGAGTGATTTACACAATGTTCAACTTCTCCAACATAATGCTTCCCGCACAAAAAGAACGTTCGCAGTTATCAGAAGTGTGTGAATAGTGAATTTCGGAACCTAATCAAGTAAGAGTCAAATAGTAATGGCACCAAATAGAATACAAATAGTAATTGAATACTGTTTGAATAGTAAGTAGACCATTTTCAAAACAGCCTTAGAACAGAACATTTTATTTGAAACAAATAGTCACAAACTTTCGACAAAGGCCATTACAGTCAGTTTGAATCTACTCAAAATACCACAATTACGAAAACTAAGGTAATCTCGTATGCAGCAGGAACTAGAATATTCGTAACATTTTGTAATTGTAGGTTCAACTACGGCATTGACTAGCGTTATCAACGTGAGACTTTGTCACCTCACTTTAAATAAAATTGGGACACAAAAACAAAACAATTTACAACCAAACATTGCAGATACAACTAAATATGTAACGGAGCAGATCAACCCGTCATCACAACATGGCCTGCGCACTAAAAGCGGATAACAATGGGCGTTGAAATTTACATCTGCAAGAACAATTTACGCAAACGCAAAACTTGTATCTGTTGCTAGTCGTGAAGCTGCAAGCACTCGTAGTTCCCACCTTTGGTTATTACAAGACGAAGACAGGAGCTGATAAATGCGATACAGCTAAAGTGCAGTAAAAATTGAGCAAGAATGGAGCTTTCAGAAGCGCATTCATTCGACAATCAATATAGTGTAGGTAGTCTTGCAAAAGCTTGGGCTGCGTACAGGTCACATTAGGGATTGAAAGAATGACTTGTAGCTGTTTCGTTGTTTTGGGGTTCTCCCGCCAGTGCCGATTATTAAAAGAATATTTGTTACTTAGAATATGTGCAATTCGATTCGACTTAGGAACCGAATACAGTGCTGTTTGATTCATTATCCAAAATTTTCGAATAATCGAACATCCCTAGCAATTATCCCTGAAAGCTACACATATGAAGTACTAAGGAAAGGTTCATGTGCTACTGCAAGACTTGGGTCACGTTACGTCGCTTCCTTCTTTCCTACTAACTGTGCTTTGCTTTTTTGTTTAGCACAAGAAGGCTTCTGTGGAAGAAGTTGGCTGAGGCCATCAATACGGAGTTCTTGTGCAACGTGACTGCCACACAAGTGGAAAACAAATGGAAGTCGCTGGACAGAGCATATAAAAAGTCAAAAAAAGACAACAATTCTTCAGGTCACCACCGTGTGAACTGTGAATATGAAGAGTAAGTTACGATTGTGTCTTCATATCTTCAGTGATTCTCATAGTGTCTATTACAGAGAGCTGGCAGAAGTCTTGGAAAAAGAACATAGTGTAAATCCAAGGCTGCTCTTGGAGCCTGGAAAAACAA